TTTTATGGGTAAAATTAAATAAAGATTTTTTTAGTTTAAGTACAGATATATGTATATCCTTTGCATATATACCTCCTAGTGACTCTGTTTATTGTAAATCACATGCCATTGTTTTTTTAACAGCTTGAAATATGCATTATTAAATATTCTAAGATTGGTAAAATATGCATTATAGGTGATCTAAATGCTAGAACAGCATCTAGGACTGATTCTATTGTACCTTCTTCTGTATTTTTGATAGATATATTGATACAATCGACAGTTACTATGATGAATGTCCTATCGATATTAAGCAAAGGTACAGTGAAGATGAAATTTGTAATTTTTCAGGTATTAAGTTATTAGATATATGTTGTAGAAGTGATCTTAGAATTGCTAATGGCCGATTAGGTGATGATGAAAATGTTGGACGCTTCACTTTTATGTATAATAAAGGAAAAAGTGTAATAGATTATGCAATTTAATCATATCACTTATTCCCTGCGGTCTGGAGACCGCAGGGTATTGGTACGCGTTTAACTTTTGAGGCATAGAGGAGCACGTGACCTGTTTTCGGTACATGGAGGAGCTTGTGATCTGTAAACCGTACATGATTGGTTAATTGACCTTTTCGAAATCCTAGCTAAATACCGTTTGCCGGTACGTTACGGATTTACCTGTAGGAAATTAGTCCGAATTACCCCTAATTAAGAACAAAAACTATTACGTGATTTTTCTAATTTTCTATAATTATTTTACCGTTTAAGGTGGAAAAACTTGAATGATGTGTTTGAAAATTATCAATGTTTCTTTAATATCTATCTCAAATTTTACAAACAATAAATTGTTTATACTGAAAATCTACAAAGTTAAAATATTCGTAGTGGCATCCGCCATAATAAATAGAGATATTTTCTGCGTAAACTTGTGTGTTTACTTTAATTATTTTTTTGCTCGGAATTATTCATAAAATGGTAGGCCTATTTAATCATTTTCTTAAAAAGAAATAATTGTTTTATGTTCGACCTTCTCCGGTCTTCAACGGTCATCAGTTTTCAAAGACCTAGCTTCTTCTATATTGATCGTTTATTCAATTGTCAACTATATTCTTGATACAAACGTTTATTTATTCCCCCCCCCCCCAAAAAAAAAAAAAAAAAAAATAAATAAATAATAATAATGTTGAAAATAATTAAATGAAATATCTTTATATCATTAAAATGTTCACCGCAGGAAACCATTTTACTTGTTTCCCTTTGTCAGTAATTTTGTTGTTCATGATATCTACTCATTCTCTACACATGTACTTATTCAAGTGAATTTTAAGGCCAGTTTTGTGAGTAATAATGTTAGTACTGATAATTGTTGTGTAAATAAACTTGTGTAAGATGCAAATAAGGTAAACATATATAATGAAGCAATGTTAGCTGATACTTCAAAGTTAAATAATATTGTTTCAAACATTTGTTCTTCTAATATTACAAATGATGAAGGTATAAAAGATTTTGGGAACATACTCTACAATAATGCATATTCGATTTTTGGTGTGAGAAAATATGCAGTTGGTAGTGTAGGGGGTAACAGAAAAAAGTTTAACTCATGGTATAATGAGAACTGTCTGCAGACCAAGCGTGACTTAAATTATGCTAACAAACAATACCGTTTGTCAAGGACACATTACAATTATTGTGTAGTTATTGGTAAACGACGTTTTTATAGAAAAATTAAGTGTCCAGCTAAACAATTGTATGTAAGTAAACAGAAAGAGGAGTTGCATTCAGCATCAAAAGTAATCCAAAAATGTTTTGGGATCTTGTTAGAAAATTTAGAAAGAAATGTAAAAATACCATTAATATAACTGCGGAGGATTTTTATGATCATTTTAAAGGATTATTTTCTGATACTGATGTATATTGTGATCAGGCTATTGAAGAAATTCTAAATCAGAATGTAAATTGTTATGTTGATTTTCTAGATTGTGATTTCACAATTGACGAGGTGAATAAAGCTATTGAAGAATTAAAAAGGCAGAAAGTGTTGGTGAAGACTTATTAATATCAGAATTTTTTATGGACTCAAAACATATCTTATCTCCTATTTTTTGTAAATTATTTAACTACATATACAATAAGGGAATTCACCCTGAATCTTGAACAAAGGGTATATTAGTCCCTGTCCATAAAAAGGGGGATACCGATAATGTAGATAACTATAGAGGTAGAATGCTAACTAGTATCTTTTCTAAAATATTTTCTCAATTACTTGATAATCGGGCACGTCTGTTTGTTGAGAATAATGACATTTTAACTGACTTTCAATTTGGTTTTCGACAAAAACGAAGTACTATTGATTGCATTTTTGTTTTACAGTCTTTAATTAATAGGATTACTCAGCTCGAAAGAAAGAAAATGTACTATGCATTTGTCGATTTTAAAAAAGGCTTTTGACCTTGTTTATAGAAATGGTATCTGGTATAAACTGTTAAGTTATGATTTATCATCTAAGTTTATAAACATGTTAAAAGTATATACAATAATGTATATATATAATAATGTATATTTACCAATGGTAAATTGACTGATTATTTTGTTGGTTACAACGGAGTTAAGCAGGGTGAGACATTATCTCCCCTATTGTTCATATTGTTTATAAATGATATGGAATAGAGTGTTTTTGATATTAATGCTGATTTCATATCCTTAAACGATTTGCAAGTTTTCATGTTACTTTTTGCTAATGATACAGTCTTATTTTCCTACTCTGTAGATGGTTTACAAACTTTAATGAACAAACTACATGCTTACTGTATGAAATGGAATATATCTGTAAACAGAAGTAAATCATTTGTTATGATCTGTAAATTAGGTAATAGGCAAGAACATATTGATGTATATTACGATAACACACGTTTAGATGTTGTTAGTAAATTTTGTTATCTAGGTGTAACATTGTCTGCAAATGGTAAATTTTTTGGTGCTCAAAAAGCTGTTTCAGAACAGGCTTTAAAAGCTTTGTTTACATTAAATTCTTTATTTGAAGCTGTACGTCTTGGTATTAGTGAAAAACTCAAGTTTTTTTGACTCAATGATACTGCCAATATTACATTATGGTTGTGAGATTTGGGGGTTCCACAAAGCCCCAGATATGGAAAAGGTTTATATTAAGTTTTTGAAATCAATTTTGAATGTTTAATACCAACTGTCTATGGTGAGCTTGGTAAAGTGCCTCTCGATATCTTAAGAAAAGAAAGAATTTTTAAGTATTGATGTAAGATTGTTAGGTCTCCGGATACATTAATTCATAAATGTTTTATGCATGATAAGCTTAACCTGGTGAAAGAATCATGGGCCCTAAGGGTTAAATCACTGTTAGATGATTTGGGTTTCAGTTATTTATGGAATAATGTATCTGTTACTGACCTACAATTAAGTAAAGTAATAGAATGCCTATATAGTCAATTTTGTCAGAATTTTTTTGGTACTTTAGACAGTATGCCTAAACATACTACATTATAAAGTTATAAAAATAAAATAGAGAAAAACAGAATCCCTAAAAAAAGTTCAACACAACAAAATTGAAAATGTTGCAGGCTCGGTTTGATTGAGCCTGTTCATGGACGGCACTTGAAAGTGCATGTTACCGTCCACAACCCCTAGCACCGGCTTAAGCAGAATTCAACATTTAACACGAAACTGGAGAAATTTTGAATTTAGAAACATCCGCAGATGTGTTCATACGGCGGTTATCATGGAACCTTCAATGTGACACAGTAGTGCCATTCCATGAAAAGCGGTGTATGGTCCCCAGGTAAAAGAATGCTTTTGCCCTAAACGAGAAACAATGGGCGGAACTTAATGAAATGGAATTTTGAAAGGGGATCTGAGGTTATGAAGCCTGCATATCACAGATAAGACGTCAAAAGACAAATTTAAAAAGCAGGCAACATAACCTAAGGGTGATTATACAGTATTCAAGTAGGAATACTGGAACCACCCAAGTTGAAATGGCCGAAAAGTAGAAACTAAACGTAAAAATATTGAAAAATATTTGTTATCGATTAAGGTGAATAAGCATAGAATAGCATTAACTAGACTGCGGTGCTCTGCTCATAAACTTGCAATAGAAGATGGTCGTTATCGAAACATTGATAGGGTGGAAAGGAAATGTATCTTTTGTAACATGAATGTCATAGAAGACAAGTATCATTTTGTACGTGTCTGTCCGCAGTATCGTACTATAAGAAATCAATGTATCCCACAATATTATTGCCATTGGCCAACTATTCAGAAATTTCAAGCACTGTTAACTTGCAGTCAATCTGGTGTGTTATGTAAACTTGCTAAATATGTCTTCCTGGCTGATAATAAACGTACTAGTCTTATTGCTCAGTAGTAATGTTATTGATGTAAGAAACATTGTTGATGTAATCATAAAGTAATGCTGCAGTAATATTTGTTGCATACATACAATTGTTACTACAATTTTAGTAAAGATAAGCACAGAAGTATAAGGGATGTCACTCCTACAACATGATGCATAAATGGAACTAGATTGTCTCCCTTTCGTTTTAGCCTTAGTCCTATATGTCAATAAGTAAGACGTTCTTATTTATTTATTTTTTTTTTTGTTATTTATGAAATAATATATCCCAAACTGTGATTTTATCGCTCAATAACATCATTGTTTGGAGTTCGGATGCGAGGAATTATATCACGAGGGCGTAGCCCGAGTGATATAATGATGCGCATCCGAACGACAAACAGTGATGTTATTGAGCGATAAAATCACCGATTTGGATATATTATTTTGATTCTAACACGACATCAACAATAAATGTTACTGTACCTGATAATAAGCTAAATTGCACCTGATTTGTTTCCGTTTACACACACTTCCATTCTTCTATCTTCAATAGGGAAAAATGCGGGTCGTGTTAGAATATACAGTAACTTTATTGAAGTAGCATAGCTTTAACTGATAATATAAACAAGTATTTGAATACAACGGCTTATGTAGATGGCTGAAATGATAATTTTAAAGGATAAGCTTAAACGAATATCCAAATGTGTATGCATATTTCACAGGTTTAATACCCTCTTACTGAGCTATCTGAAGTCGGTGTGTACAGATATTGGTAGACATACTTAATTTTACATAAAGGTATAATGTTGTATTGCTAGTTTGTTGAAATTGATTTTCCACGCGTGTAATTACATAAATTGTGTATCGATTGTGGTTTAACAATTCAAGTGGATTATTTATGTACTTAAATGGGTAAGATTCAGCTTTTGTAACACTATAGACTACTTTCGGTTTTGATAATACTTTTGGTTTTGATAATATATAAATTCAAGGATCACATTTTTTTTTATATTTATCTTCTATTTCTTGGGTACAAAAATATTTTTTTATTATCAATTAATCATATTTCTTGCAAAATATGTTTCCAATCGAAACATAATAGCGTTATAACAACTTGCAAGTTAATGTTATTAAACGGAGACTTTCAGGGACTGCTTTAAAAATAAGTACACATTTATCACAGGTTTTAACGGGTTATTTTGGGTTTGTAATGGTATTTTCATTTAATTTGAAACTCTAAATTTCTTTTATAATCTGTTAATTTTGAATCTCTCTCATCACTGCAGCAATATTTTATCACTGGCGCCATTAATATTGTGTGTGAACCAGATACGCTGTTTTTTTATTTAAATTTTATTTTCATCGGCCTCTAGGAATATTATAATTCATCCTTTACTGTTCTAAAAATTTAGAAATTTTTCCGGTTACTTCAGTTCTGGAGACGATTCTAACTTTTATAGAACAGTAAATATGAACATTTATATATACTTACAGGTTTAAAAATTCAATCGAGGCAATATATTTAACAATCATTTCAGAAAATAATTTGAAAATACAGTTTGATGTTCTCTTAATATTTTTACAAGCATATAGGTGAACCGATTAATAAGATTAATAAGATGAGGTGCTCTCGCACCAGTTGTGGGAATGAGGGTGATGGAAAATTTTGTGAGGAGTGTGGATCAAAGATGGTGGAGAAGAAAATGAATACAGTAGTGATTTGTATTGGAAAGCTAGATGATGATTCTGCATGTAGAGCAGAACTTGTTCCTTATCAGAAATTTTGTAAAAATTGTGGGACAAAAGTTGATCAGTCTCTTTTCCAACATACATGTCCTCAATGTGGTAATGTGGTAGAGCACAGTGCAAAGTGTTGTATGGAATGTGGATATTACTTGAAACAACAAGCCAAAACAGGTATTAAAGAAAATTATATTTTTTTGTCATAATTATAATGAAAATAACAATGTTTCCATCAAGAACATAGGCTGCTGTAAAAAAAAATTATATATTGTTGACAGAACTATTCAATTATTTTATTATTTCTGATATGATTCTGAACTTTTTTTAAAGTTAGTTTGATCTGAGCCAGGATTTCTTTTGCAATATATGGCGAACAATATTTTTAAATTTAACTCGCTACAGTGTTGAAGCCGTACTGGATGCTTGCTGAAATCATGATCACAACGAAGAAAATATCGCTTTTATCGCCAATTCTCAAAATATGTGAATTGAATGTTAAAAAAGCTTTCGGACGAGTGAAAAGGCGAGATTTTAGCATTTAATCATTCAAGTGCTGTGTACGATATTGACCGGAATACGGCGTTTGGGATGGTGCTTTATATTTCTTACTTAAAATATTTGAGAAATTTTGGGATATATGAGTAACAATTTGTATACAGCGAATTTGTTATTGACAAGGCCAAGGCTTCAATTGTAATAAAAGCTGTGGTATTGACATTTAAAATCTCTTTCTTTTGATTAATATTGATTTTGCTGGTTTGAATAAAATGAAGCCTATTGAAATAGAATATATACTTTGCAAAATAAATAAATGATTCAAAGGTGTTTAACGTTACAATAATTAATAGCAATTGCAATTCATTCTTCAATGCTATGAATGTAGTTATTTTAATTCATCAATGTATGAAATGGAACTCCCCTGTGTTGTTAATTAATTTCTATTTCAATAAATATTTATACATGTATCTGGTGAGTGTATATAAACAGAGCTTAAAATAGTTAAATTTATATTGTATTGAGGCCAGAGTATCCTACTATCACCAAGTTTTTCATTATTGAACAGGTGTTCTTCAACTTAATTGTTCAAATGTTAAACATTATGCCTGAGGGTGTGTGGGGTGTCTGTGTCCGAATGGTTAATGCCCTTCACCACTGTGGGTTCAAATCCTGACAGGGACATAAGAGAGATTTTGAAATTACTTTGGTGAAATATTAACAATACTGGAACGACATGTTACTTGAAGGTCAAAGCTAAACATTGTTTAACCGGTCTATAATGTTTTCATTGTTTATGTGATTATGAAATTTCTTATTCAAGAGATTTTAAAATCACTTGGCACATATGTTCACAATTATTAACTGAGGTGTCATGCACAACACCCGGACCTTCAAGGTCAAGGCCAAACTTGGGGTCAAAGCTTGACATGGTATGTTATATTGTTAACTTTTCGTCAATCAAAGAATTAAAAAAAAAATTTGAAACGAATTATCTCAAATATACGACAATGTATCATGTGCAACACCCGGACCCTTATTTGCAAGGTCAAGATCACACTTGGAGATCAAAACTGAACATGGTCTGTTCTTTGGAGGTCAAAGCCTCTGTTTTCTAAATGGTTTGTATTAGTTTTGTATCTGTTACATTTTATAATTTTGAAATAGTGATATAACATCTACAAAAATGTATTTCTGTTGACACATACACAGTAGTTATTTCATTCAATTTCATTTCATGCAAATTTAGCATTGATCAATATTCAGTCCAAAATTCAGATCCATTATTTAGTCTGTTGCACGATTTGTCCTTCAAGTAAAGTTTCGCTTACGAGGAAGATGTTGGTTACATATTCTTATTTATAAATGAATAAACTTCATATTTAGACACAACATATTTTGGGTCAGGACATTTATGTATAACAAACTCAAATTGATCATGCCTCATATACAGATTAGATTCATACGTGGACAAAACAACATTTGTGAACAAGCGGACTTGTTGAATAAGTGAAATATGACTTTGACCTTTAAGTGAATTTGAACGCCAAGGTCATATGATTGAATTTTACTGATATGTCCTTACTTTTGGCATCTATTTTTGGAAAGGATATATATGCTTGTACAAAACCACAAGTGTTACTAGACAGACATATTAAAATAAGAAAAGATAGAATTTTTGTTTCTTTAATTTTCATTTAAAAATGTGTTCAAACAATTTATTTGTTTGCTTGAAGGCAACGTCGAGCGATGTCCCCGCCTTGTGGTGGCTCCTGTTAACCAGTGCTCAAACTTGGATGCTGATATGCAAAATGTCTGGAGCTTTGTTAAAAACCAGTGAGTTTTTATTATATTTCCATTGTGTCAGAATGGTAAAAACGATAAAAGTGTGAGTTTATTATTACTTTATACAGTGCATCTGTCAAATTGGTTTGCTATAACAAATTTTGAATTCGCTTTTTTGCAAACTAGTGAAAGATTATATTTGGAAAATAATGTAAAAGGCATCATACTGCATAAAATTGTTTTGTGTGCATTTTTAATATTTGCAATTTCGTTTTTTATTGTTTTTATTGTGATATGAAATTACAGATGGGACACAATAACAAATAAGATAAAGTCTGGTAATCTAAAATTTCAAGACTTTGAGAGGATAGTTGGCCATAAGTATAGAGAGGATTATGACCAGATGAAAGCTGAGTTAAGAACAATGGGTATCACCGAGAACGTTATCAGTGAGCGTATTGACCAGCTTAGAACGTTCAGACAATTAGAAACATGTGTAAAAGTAGCAAAGACAATACTGACATTTGCTAAGGAATGCAAATTGAACGGAGACTTCTCACAGATAAGAGTTATTGCAACCGTAAGTTGACTGAAATATTTAAGATACAGTAGTTTAAATCTTAATCAAGTTCATGTGAAGTGAAGGACTTTTTTATTTTGGAAAGCTATACTCTAGGCCATGGTCAACATGACTAGCTTAGTGTTTTAGTTCATAAATAGCTTATAGATTCGCCAAAGTTTGTCTGTCTTTATTATCCACAATTTCTCCTCCTTATTCACATGGTTGATGTAGACCAAACTTATTAATGATTCTTAGGTGACCCTCTTTGTAAATATGGTTCCAGTCGATGTATCAGTAGGTCAAAATTTGACTTTTAAAAAAGTATTTAAAAACTTCTTTTTAAAAAATGCAATGGCAAGAGCTTATATATTTGGCATGTAGCATCACCTCTTGGTCCATTGTCCCGTCCTGAAGTCACTTAGTTTATATGGATATATATAGGACAGTACATCCAGTACATCCGATTGTCTGTCCGATCTAGGGGGATAACTAATACATAATGTATAGCGTAAGGTTTTGTGTACACCTTAACGTTGTAAGATTCATCCCGTACAAACTGTAGTTCTGGGATCAGCATAGGTTTGTCCGGTTTTGACAGGTGAAGCTACTGCTGGGATTTACATGCCGCTGTTACATTCTAAGGGTACATATAGGGAAGTATTTGTTTTTGTTTTCCCGTTCTGAAAATTGGTGGTCCCTTGTAAGCAATGAAAACAACAATATTATGTATTAAAATTGCATGCCTGGTTTGATTAAGTATTTTAGAATGAGTCAATAAAAAGCGCAACATCTTTCATGCCCCTAGCGCTGGCAATAGTGATGTTAAATCTTTAACACTAATGTGAAGTATCGGGCAACTTTTTACAGATGTAACGTTTACAGTTACTATGACATGACCCTAGAGTTTTGCATGTAGAAATGCCATATTGTATTTCTCTGAAGGTTTATAAGAAAGCTATTGGCTCTACACTGGGGGTCACTTAAATCATTTAGACTTGCATGATAAAAAATTCTTAATCATTTACCTAATCAGCATATTGTGAAAAAAAAATGGCCGTTTTTATCGAAAAGCCTCCTGTTACAAGTTCAAACTGCTATGAAACTATGAAAAATGCTTAAATACTAATGAAACATGGCACACATGTTGACTGGACAATAGCTCCTGTAACAGCATGCTCAATCATAAATTTCCTGTAACCATAGCAACGGGGGAACGTCTCAAAATTGCCGAAAATCACTATTTCGCATTGATTTTTACCATCAAAACTGAGTTCAAAGTGCTGAAACTTCTAAATCGCTGGAGATAGAGTAAATGTCTTTTCAGCCTTGGCTACACGTTACCTAACAATCGACCTGAGGTCATTTTTTAGCCCGTCACATTTTCGAAATTTTCTTGGCGATGAGGGGGGGGGGGCTGCCCCCTCCCCTTCAAACCCCCGAAACAGATAAGGACAAATCCCCCTTTTGGCAACCGCTTGAAGTACCTTATTGATAGGGTGCGGCGCCGAAAATGTGATCACTTTTTTTACATATCTACAACAAAAAACAAAGTTAAGGGCCTTAATTAGGCATTTTTCACTGTTTGGGGCCTCAAAAAGGGGGGTGTGGGGCAGAAAGCCGTTAAAACACGTCTATATGAAGTGAAGGGTTAAGAAGTTCATTTTGGAAACTACAATGCTTAGAGCTTTGATATGTGACATGTAGCACCATATTGTGGTCCTCTAGACAAGTTATATACTTCATGTCCCCAAAAATAAATTGGCTCCAGACCAGGGCTACTTAGTTTATGTAGATTTATATGGGAAATACTAACAATCTGCTTGTATGAAACTCAAGGTTTAATGCCAATAGCTTAGATTTTTTGTAGTGCACTACATTGACGTAAACCATGTCCCTTTGATAAAAAACAGGTTCCAGTCACAGGGCCTCTTAGTTAAAATAGACAGACTAACTTAGTAAAACAACTTCTTTAATGAAATTTCCATGCTTACAACTATGATACTTTGCATTTAGTTTCAACAATTTTTAAAAACTTTGCGGATTGTGTCAAAATGCCAACCTAATATCAGCTAATTACTAAAATATTTATATGAAAATTCGTGACCTTTTTTGCAATGCATGTATCTTAAGTGAGCGCTTCAGGGTCCTGTTGTTCTAGAGAACAGTCTATCATTATCAAGGGCATGACAAGTGTGTGACTATTATTATTATGGAAAATATTGAAATTCTGATCAAGGTAGTAATAAGGAGATGACTGTTGTTGTTATTTGGTCTTAGTAGATTCAAGATGAAGGAACTATGAGTAAATGAATACTAAGGCTGCCAGTAAGCTTGATATGTATCGTAAAACTTTATTTTGATAAAAACACATGTATATAGCTTATTGTATTATTAGAGTACCGATCAAAACATGAAAAGTTTTGACAACAGTGTGATGAAAGCCTGTGAATTTCTCAAAGAGTTGACACCAAAAAAGGAAAAATGCCTGGAAACGTTTGTGAAATGTGGACCACTTGTACAATGGCTTAAGGAGTCAATGAAGACATGTAGGTTAAATTTGATTGTCTATATATAATCTCTGCATTTTTTAAGTTCCATTTTTGTCAAGAAAGAAAGAAGAATTATTGTCATGACCATCTCGCCGGCCTCGGCTTTGGTAATCCTTGTCTTTAAGGTCCATTCTCTTAGAATCTATAAAAGTTCAACTTTAAACTTGTTGAACTTATTAATTAATGCTACATTTTGCCCCTTTAGATTTAGACTTAGATTTCAGTCCTGGTTAACCGTTTTTTGTTAAGGTTATATTCTCAGGAAGTATAAAAGCTTTTCACACTCTAAACTTGATATACGTGTTCACTATCAAAATGTATTTTTTTTCATGCACAATTGTTCATGTACATTTATCAAAAAGTATTAAACATATTTACTTTAAAATCGAAGTATGTTCACTATGACATTTGAAATGTATTTCTTTTAGGCAGATAACCCTGGAAGCGTATTTGCTTATTTACGTACGTCTTTTCTAGACTAAGAATATTTGCTATTTTCTCAGAAAAATGTATTGAAAACTACTTGAAATATTTTTGTCTGTCATGGGCAGGTAAGTCTGCTAAGCACATTTGCAGAATTATGCCCCTTTTCTGTGTTGATTTTAATGAACTATCCCTCGCTGACAAAAGTAGAGCGGTCTTTCCGCGTACAGGTCTTGTTATCAGTTGTCCTTATGTGCTTTAACTTGTTTACTTATTTTGTGTAACCATTGTACAAGATAAGTCAGGGCGGACCTGAAAGGTCTTTTCCCTATGTGCATTTAAATAATGTTTGATTTAAAGTTTTTATTTAATTGAAACAAAATCTGTTTTACAGAAAACAATAGGACAACGTCATCCACAAAATGTTACAATCGCATGAGTGACATTTTTTGCAGTTATTCATTTCACAAAAGAATAAAGGACGTTCTGAACATCATTATTGTTATTAGTTTAAAGTGTCTAGTTTTTAGAGTAAAACAGAATCCCTTAAGAAAACCCAACACGGCAAAATTGAAAATGTTGACGTCTCGGTTCGATTGAGCCTGTTCATGGACAGTACGTGAAAGAACAAGTTACCGCCCTCACCCCTAGCACCGGCTCAAGCAGAATTCAACATTAAATGACAGCTAAATCCCCTTCCACAGAAGACACAAATGTGTATTTCTTGACCTTAAACAAACCATGACATTGATAGTTATTGTTTATGCCAAGTGATTTTAAATCTTCCAAAAAGTCAAAAAGTTATAAAGAACATTAAACTTGACCTTACGGGTAGCAAACTGGATGTTGGGTTCTGCCCATCATGATGATTTCTGCCATCTTAAAAACAGCGTTTTAAATGTTATTGAACGGACACGAATTATACACATTTTAACACTTGAACTTTATGTGTGACCATGACCTTGGAGGTAGCAACTTAATTATTGCTCTCTGCACTTCATCTCATAATGGGATTCATTTCTGCCAAGTTATTTTACAACTGTTTTCAGCACATTTAAAGGTATGGAGCAGACACAACATATACACGTTTAAGTGTGACATTGACCTTGTTGGTAGCAACCCAATTATTGGGCTATGCACATCGTTTTTTAATGTTGATTATTTCAAACGATTTTCAGCGGTTAAAAAGTTATGTTACAGAACGAAATGTACACTTTTAACACTTGACCTTTAATTAGGATTTTGATATTAGGGGTAGCAAACAAATTAATGCGCTCTGCAAATCGTCTCATAATTGTGGTCACTGGTGCCAAGTTATTTCACAAAAAATTCAACGGTTTAAAGTCATGGAGCAGATATGAAATGTTCACATTTTAACACATGACCTTTAAGTGTGCCCTCGCCCTTAGGGGTAGCAACCCAATTATTCAGCAATGCACATCGTCTCATAATGGTCATCATTTTGCCAAGCTTGAAGCTATTTCCAAAAATGTTCCATGATTTAAAAGTTATGGAGCGGACACGAAACTGTTACGGACGGACAGACGGACGGTCAGACAGACGGACTTACAGACAAAGGCCATTCCTACGCTACGAAGAAGGGGATTAAAAAAGTAAAGGTTTTAATTTAGAAACATCCGCAAATGTGTTCATACGGTAGTTTTTATGGAACCTTTAATGCGAGACAGTAGTGTTTTTCCATGAAAAGCGGCGTATGGTCCTCTAGTAAAATAAATGCGTGTGCCCTAAATGAGGAAACAATATGAAATTTGAAATGGTATCTGAGGTTATGAAGCCTGTATATCTCAGACAAGACGTCAAAAGACAATTTAAAAAGCAGTCAACGTATTCTAAGGATGATTATACAGTATTTAAGTACGAATACTGGGAATACCCAAGTTGAAAAAAGCCATAATAGAAAGAACTAAAAATACCACATAACATGTTTTATAGCAATAATGTCGTGCTGAACGATCTTGGAGGATCGAAATATAACATCAAATATCACATATCAAATACTCGGGGAGACATTTAACAGCCGCCACACGACATAAATAAATAAATAATATAAATAAATAAATATTGTAAACATATATCCATAACAAGTAAAGATGTCCTGTAATAAAATGTTACTGGAAGAAACTGAATGTTCGAAAGCTCTGTAAATATAAGTTGATGGTTTCCTTATCATAGATATTGATTTATTTGACGTTTATTTAATAAATATATATATGTTTGGACTTTTCCGGCCATAATTGGGTTAAATCGAAACTTTTAGTTCACAATATAAAGAACGTTCAACTAAGAAGTGGAATTTAAGAAACATATTAGTATATGCAGTAATAATGTTTCTCTGCCTTAATTTTTATTTACAAAATTATTTTACATTGGTTTTCTTCCTCCTTATAAATAATGCAAAGTTTTTGATGTATAATTTCAAGCTTATTTAGAAAGAAATGCAAATCTTTGTGGTACGCTATTGAATCTGCCCATAACGATATTAAAAGGCTAAAACAAGTAATTAACTAAGTTTAAAGCTGTAAAATCGTCAAAATGCTTGTTTTTTTTTATAAAACTGTAAACATTATTTTGCGATGATTGTCTTTTTATATCTCTTTTTTTTTGTTGCAATATATCGGCTATTTATTATATTTTGTAACAGTTTTGTATTCTTGTACATAATTATGTAGCTCTGTTTAAAAATGTTACTGTAAAATAAGTTCAAAAATGATGTGTTTTTTTTAGCTGGATTAAAAGAGTTAAAGGTATTTGTTGACCAGGCATTTATGTCAGCTGGTGATGAACCAATTAACATTGCTCGCGTTCAGTGTCTCCACTCAGCTGTGACAGGATATACCCCGCTAATATTTGACTTGGATGAGAATTGTGGTTACAAGGAACTTTTAAATCTTTGTGCTGTTGTTTGGAAAGAACTTGAGGCAAATCCTTTCCTTCCGGAACAATTGGTATTTTTTAAGCAATAACCATTGATAGTGAAAGTGTTTTTTTATTTTCAAATACTTGTATTTGCTTGTTTAAATCAAATTTTGATGTAAAAGACCATTTTTGGTAAATTATAGATGTTCAGTGAATTTCTATCTAGGATGTAAACCAGAACTCAGCTTCATCATATTCATGATTAATTTATGAAGAATGATTTTATCAAAATCTGCTTAAACATATACTTAAAATAATATTTCAAGATAAATTTGTTAAAACAAATTGCGAAATAAGTTGTTTTTCTTCTCAAAGAAATAGTAATAAAATTGATTATTTGTTATCATTAAACATTGAGTTACCTTTATTATATCATTTTTTGGAAAACTATTGCATTTTATTGCCCTGAGTTTAGTTTCTCTAAAGTAGAATTTAACCTTTCGTTTTTCTTTACAGCTAGACACCACACGCCAGCTAGAATGGCTAAAAGAAATCAAGAAAGCTCATGAGTCAGTAGAGATAACATCCCTTATGCTTATGCAAGTGGAAGCTATTAATGCTAATGGAGTATTTACAGTGGGTAAAAATACTTGGAAGAAAGAGACACAGACACAACTTATTGATGGAACAATTATGGTAAGTTTTAATATTAAGTGTTTTGTCATTATAGGCAATATAATTTGATGCAGTTATTATTATTTTATTTCTCACTCTCAGGGAAGATCAAACAAGGAAAGACATCTTTATATACAGCATTTAAACAAGCCTAACAGACATTCTTGCGAAGCATGTGTTATTGTTTGGATAAGACATTTAGTGTTCAGAAACTATAGTTTTAATTTTAGGAGATGTCAGATATTCTGAAGTTGACAGTGCCAGAACAAGAAGGAAAAAGGGAGTTGAAAAATTATACCTTCTCTCAATTGCAAGATTTACAGAGTCGACTTATGTTGGTATCAGACAAGGCTGAGAAAGGTTCAGATAGTGTTGACAGATTTACCATGGCAAGTATAATTTTAGAAACGTTTTATGTGAACATGATGATAAGGATAATATGTATCATTTGTGTGTGAAGAAAATGTCTCAGTGCTTTGAAATATTTGTTACAGTTAACAGTCCTGTATACAAAACGAACACAAATGAATAGAACTTAAGCAAGTACAATGTATTGTTGTATCCTAGGTTAAAGTTAAAACCTAATCTTGACCTTGTTCTCAGTTGTTTTAAGCACATTTTGGCACAAAGTGAACTTATGAGATGGCTGTGTGTTTCCGCCCATTCTCCGTCGTTGTCGAGAATTTCTTTAAACAACTTCGCCTTCTAAATCACTTTATGGATTTTGACCAAGGAAATGAATAATTCTTAGATGGTCCTCTACAAAAAGTTATATAAATGGTTCCAGTCTGATACCTTAGTAGGTCACATGAGCAAAATAAAATTCTGAAATTGCAGTTTACAGAAATTGAGCATATAGCAATACACAGTATATAGTCTGTTATGTCAAATATACTGAACATTAAATATGTAACTAGACGAATTCAAATGTAAAGGAAAATGTATCACTGTCGAAGTTTTCTTTGTTTGATATTTCAAATATTAACAGACATACAATGAAACAATTTTTGTTGTTGTTGTTTTTTTTTTGTTTTACTTTTATTTCAACTTTCAACAAAATATTTGTACTTTGGTATTATTTTACTACGTTGACAATTTCTGGAAAATAGTATAATACATGTACCTTTAATAAAACAGGTCGTCTGAGAAAATATGCAATTCAGTACTTGATAGATCTAGCCATCTGAAAAGACCAACCAGAATTGAATGACTCAATACTAATATTCCATTGTAATTTGAAAATGCAATCTACACTACAAGTATAGATATTTTATTTTGAAAACTAATGATACAATATTTGAAATTACCACCTGCTTTGATTACTACCTTAGGTTTTATTGACTGGTAATTGTTTTACCTCCTTTGTTAAATTTTAAATTTTCCCTTGAAAATTTAGATGGTCATGCCCCTGCCAGGCCCTGCTGTATTGACCTAGTTAACTCAGTTGCTATCCAGTATAAGAGATTACTATGTATATTACACCTGTCACACATTTGTGTGTTCGACTGTCACACATTTTGTGAAGGTACCATATTAAGCAGTGTGTTCTGTATACATGTAAATTGTGTAATTGTATACAAGAGTGGAATCAAAAGAGCATTGAACAGCAATTGGATTTTGTCATATAGCCAATTAGAAAGCTTATATATTTTTCTGATAAACAGCAACAGCAAAACAAAATATAAAAAAAACAGGACAGTGCATAATTTTTAAATAATTAAGCACAAAGTTTAGAAAATATGGCCATTTATTTAAGATAAAAGAAAATGAGATAAAAGAAATAATCATTTTTATGAAGAAAACACAGGCATAAAATATTTACAAGAATCGGAAAAAGACCGATAAAGTTTAAGCAATTTTTCCGCAAAAAATTAACCATTCGATTTGTATTTTTCAGCACTTTTTATTTATGTTAACAGTATTGCTCTTCTTGTATTATATATATTGCTATTTTGTGTAAAAAATATATGGATACAGTCGGTTGCTTACTTGCGGACGGTGATCCATTTTAACGTGATTAATGCATGCATATTATTTTGAAACAAATATTCAACCTTTTTTTATTATTTTTTTTCGCTCCTATACAAAACAAAAAATAAATTAGTAAGCTTCATTTCAAATTTATTTTGGTTAAATAGGTCCACTTTAAAGACCAAAACTTCATATTTGTAAAACATTCGCTTAGGTTCCATTTTCCTGCACATATAGGTAGGCAGCGTTTAGTGGAAGTACAGTTTCACACGGTGTGTTAAAGAATCATCCGATCGGCAATTATTTTATCAAATATCTTCAAAAGGGAGCTATTGGAACTCCACTACTATAGACTTAATGTTGATTGAATATATTAAGAACAATTCTGTCTAAGTTTGTCTTGGATACGGAGAATTTTCTCTCGCGAAATGTTAGCGTTTCTGCCAAATGTGAAATGCCGGTCTTTGGCGTAAAATTTTGGATAAACATCAATGAAAACCGTGTGTGTATTTAAATATATAATATTTTTGGGGGGCGGGTAAGGGGTTCAAATTATTTTTCTCTTCTACTTCACAAATCTAAAACTTCTTTTTAACAGAATCGATGTATAATGATCGCAAACAAATCTCGGTAGCCCTTTAAAAAATAATGAAAACGAGGCCATTTTCATGGGTCGGCCGGAGCACTACAAAAAATGTTTTAAGAATGGCATGTACAGTAAATACATTCAAGTCTTCTTTTGTGAGACTACAATGCCATTAGCTTAGATATTTAGCGCGTAGCATTGCCTAGCAGACCTCTTCAAAAGCTACTGAAGTCATCCCCTTTGGTAACAAAATTGCCACACCTTATGGTGACTTCTTTTTTAGACTTGTAAAGTAGATATGTATCTAATCTTTTTTGAAAAATTGATTGTAAGATGTTAGATTTTTTTTCACAAATCATCACAATGTGGTCTTCAATATCTATAAATCAGGTCTCGCGGGTGAAAAATTGTGAAAAATTGACCCCGCTATGTTGTCCAGTAGTTTATATAAACTAAATAGAAAAATACTTCGAGTCTTTTATTGTAAAACTGAAATGTATACAGCTTAGATATTTAACATGCAGCATTATACCGTGGACCTCTACAAAAGTTATACAAGTCATACCCCTTTGGTAAAAGATGGCCCTGTCTAGGATGTCACATACTTTACTTAGACTTGTAGTAAAAATGTTGCATAAATAACAATGCCAAGATTCAGATATCTTGCTTGTAAAATCACGTATGGTCTTTTACAAAAAATATAAATCATGCCTTGCAGGTGAAAATTTGCAAAGACCAGAGGTCACATAGCATATGTACACTTGTATGCGAAAATACATTTCAGTCTTCCTGCGAGAAATTACAATGACAATACTTAAGATTAGTTGCATGTAACACTGCCAAATTGCATTGGGGTCACTTATTTTGTAATTTAGCAGCCTTGAAAAACATGACGAAGCCAGTGTGACCTCATTACTGGTTTTAACCTTTTCAAGGAAAGTTCAGGTGAGCGATCTAGGACCATCAATGCCCATTTTTTACCAAATAACTTATAGTCATAAATCAGTTATCATTAAATTATGATAATTTGTCTTTTAGATATTTGACAGTATAACTAGAGTAAGTAGTGTGTACATGAAACTTTGTTCATCTGGGTGTGTGCTGTTTAAAGACTGGACAGCAAGATTCCTGTGTTATCCTAAACCTGATCGTCCAGTTTGTGCCATACTAGAGTTTGGCCAAGGTGATAGTGTACCTCAGCTGAAGGTAAGCCTTAAAACATAATACTCTATTATGAGCCTGTTTAATTTTTATCGAATAAACGTTTATAAACTCATTATTTCAGTGCAATGTTTAGTGTTATCTTTAACAGTTTTAAAACAGTCAAAAACATTTTATTTTGAGCTAGATTTATTATTTAAATTAACCTGCCTTGCAAAGGTCATATGATGACTTTAGAGCTTTACTTTTGGCAAAAGAAATTGCTAGCGCTTCCCATGAATTATTTAAGACAGAAGTTGGCACTTTAATGAATCCAACATACCTTCAGGAACTTAGCTTAAGAGGTTTTATGTATGAAATATTTCTAAGTATGTTGTAGAAATCTAACCCATAGCAATGATGTTTAAGTGGTCTGAAGCTTGGTCTTGCAGGCTTCTTTTCACACCTGTATTTACATAATCACAAAATTGTTCTCAGAAGCCTTTAAGTATAACTATTATAATAAAAGTTTTTTGATGGTTATGTATATATATTTGTACAATAAGGAAGACAATCTTACAGCCATAGCAACCAGTGACTTTCCATAGCAACCAGTGACTTTCCATAGCAACCAGTGACCTCTATAGCAACCATTTACTTTCCATAGCAACAATCGACTTACAAGTTGTGTGCGTAATTAATATATTGTTTTACTAAAGGGAAGACGATCTGAGAAGGAGGACTTGAAGGATATAATTCCTGAACTAGCCAAGGTTATGGAATGTTGTCTTGATGAATGGCTGGATCATATTAAGGAGAAACGAAAGACTTATCTTCACTTGAACTACTACACTGTAGACCAACTTGTTATCCTTCAGAGAGAACTGGTTAAAATGGGAATAGAATCAGAGCCGTCACATCTGGTGTACCCTTTGTTGTCTGCTGTAAAAGAAAATTGTACTCCAGGTATTGTCTTATACTGAAATATTTACTATCTCAAAGTAATCAAAGAAATCTCAGTCACTATCCATCTATTATTATTATTATTATTATTATTATTCAATTAGGGGTGTTTCCTTTGTTTGTTAATGCAACTTTCCTTAGTTATAGTTACTGTTAACATTTCTGACATTTTTTTGCCAAAGTCATTTATAACGCAACTTAGAGAAAAAATAAAGATATTTACGTATCAACTTTATTCTATTTCTAGATGACCTTATAGAGGCTATGGCTGCTGCTAAAGAAGAGATAGATGGTGATGTAGATATGGAAGCTGTAGGTGGAAATGCTGATGATGATGAGGGAGAGGACATGCCAACTGATGCCACTGAAGACGAGAAGAGACAAAATTTTATACAGGAACTTGTTATAGCAGGTTTTGATGAAGCCCTTGCACTGAGGGCGCTGCAGTTTATAAGTCCAGATGATGTTACTGCTGGTAATAATTTTACCAAATCTTAATCAAATCAATATTAAAAATGAAAATTATAATAATATAATTTACTACATTAAGAAGAATTGCAATTACATTGACATACAAAATGTATTTGACATTGTATGGAATTTTTCTTAAATTTCGGTCAAAACATATATAAAGATCTTAAATGACTGATAAAGTTATAGAATATTACGTTTAGATTTGTTTTGTTAAATAAATGCTATGTTTCTTACGTGTCATCTTAACATTTTATAAACTTAATGATTACATACTGATAATTGGCTAAATTTATCTCCAAACTTCAGGTATAGTATGGTGTATGGATCATGATGAGGATTTATATATGTCTGATTATGTGGAACAACCGCAAGTTGATAATCAACCAATGAGAGAGCAGGTTACACCGAGACCTATTTTCACTGGCTGGAGCCAATCACAAACTGACATACAAACTATGATTCTAACAAACATATCTGGACTGAGGAAGCAGACGTATGTAGCTCTTTTTAATACCTTCTGATAAGTCAACTTGAAAAAGTATTAACATAACATTGATTCTAATTGAATAATATGTACTATTACAATAATGATGGTGATTGAGAGAATTTAAGTTTTTGCATGCATTAGCAACTTTAAATAAACATGTGATTTTGACTAAATTTATAAAAATCAAGGTTTATATTACAGTGATGTTGGATCGGCTCCTCTGATCAGTGATCTTACAGCGTTATGGAAACAGTTTCTGGATTCTATATCTTCCAATATACGAGACTATCTAAGTCTGGAGCATCTTGGCCTTATACTGAAATATCTTGCTAGAAAAGGTATGATAACTATGAAAATATACGAAATGTGATCTGAAATACAGAGTGAAATTGTTATGTTATTAAGTAGATATATTTACAATTTCTTCTGAAATGTATTTTTCATGCTTTTTTTTTTAAATGAAGTATATGCATGCAGTTACCAGCATTTATCACAAAGCATTTTATCTATTTTAGTTGTTGTTCTTTAACTACATTTGTAGGTATAGAGATTTATGAGCAACTTCAATTATTTTGTCCATATAATCTTGTTGTAAGAAAACCAATGGAATTAATGATTTTGATAGAGGGAATGTGGAGTAAGGATTAGGGTATTTGTCTTTCAATCCAGGGATCATTGATCAAACCCAAGTTGGGTCACTGATTTCTTTCATCTAAGAAACAAATACTGCTTATTTCTAGGGAGCAAACTAACGTGTTTACCTACAGCTTTCTTCATAAGCCAAAACTCATAATTTGTAAAGTTTTCTTTTTATGATTACTTTTATTAGATATAAAAGAAGTATCCAGATTACTACCACTAGGATTCAAAGAAGGTCAACCCAACCTGATTATATGTCCCTCAGGTAAGCTTGATTGTTCTAAACTTGAATATCAACACAAAATAACAAAGCTAAGCCAAACCCACAGAATATGACTGTATTATGTATTGTTTCATTTATGGATTGAAACAAATGTGTATCTAATCTTCACCCTCCTAACTTATTGGATCCCAACCAAAAAATAACAATGTTGAAATATTTTATATTGTAGGAGATGTATTGATGACCACACTATCTATATATATGATGGACAGAGATCAACCTCTACCTATGTCAGATGAAATACTCTTGTGTACACCTAACACAACCAAAGATGAAGTAAGAAGTTAACAGAATTATATTACAACAAATTTAAAACACATTTTAGTTCACCTGAACATTTGTTTGTTAACACTCTAGTGGTCACATTTTTGCCTCAATCATCATCAAACTTTGTCAGGATGCTTGTCTAGGTAATTGCTCGCATGAGTTTAAACATTGTCCATCTTGGATGACAAACTAGGTCACAGGAGCTAAAAATAGAAAAATCTTGTTAACACTTTAGTGGATACTGTTTTGATTCAAATAGCCTGGAAATTTGTCTGAAAGTGTTTTTTTTGCATGATTTCTAGGTCAAGTTTGAATATGGGTCACCTGGGGTCAAAAAGTAGGTCACACTGCCCAGATTTGGATTAACCTTGTTGACTGTTTAGTGGGCACAATTTTGACTCAATTGTCATCAAACATGGTCATGATGCATGCCTCAGTTATTTGCTTTGATGAGTTTGATTGGTCAGGTGAGCGATCTAGGGCCATCTTGGCCGTCTTGTTGATATATTATCTTAAATTTGTTATTTTATTACTCAAGAAGTTTAAGCAAACTTGTCAGTGATTTGATTGAAGACATTGTAAAGTCTCTTTTAGTACTGGTCTAATCATCATCTGAGGACAGGAAGTTTAACATGCTCCTGCATATATTATTTTGTGTACATGTATATGTGAAAGAATTGAAAAAAGAACTCAGGGACATTTGTTCTTCAAACATTAGATTTTTTTTTGAAAGTTTTATTTCTCCCAGATGTTGTGTAATTTGTTATGATTTTTTTTTCTTTAGGTTGATATATTTTGGAGGAGAGCAATATTTGATGGAGGAAGAAAGATTCACTGTCTGGTAAATGCTGACATGTTAGATTATGATGTCAGTGAAGCTGCAGAGAGATGTCTAGAGGAATATCTTCTGGAAGTTTATCACAATAAAGGTATTTAGATACCTGAACTTATGAAAATACTGTCGAGACTGGCATGTGCGTTTTAAAGGGATCCTAAAATTGTCACATATGACGAGGAGTCTCTTTAAACAATTCAAAGAAAAATGCTAGATTTTTTATCATTCTGATATACAGTTGTGAATTACTTATATTGCTGTATCAAATGTAATTCAACAAGTTCTAAATATTGTATGCTTAAATCTATGTGTGATTGTATGTTCAGATATTAGAGATTAAAATTGTACTTTTTATTATTCTTAAATATTAAAATACGGACAATTGATGCTTTTAAGATTATAACCTGTGAATTTCATGGAAGTTCTTCCAGCACATTTCACATGGGCAATGCATTATTAGGTGAGAGAGCTTTTCTGCACTCGGTTATCAGACTTTTCACCTAGAATTCATACATAGCAAGATAAAATATCGTAAAGAAATAACTGCAGTTTGCTCTTTTCAATGGCATGTTTGACAGGTACATTACACCTGTCACTTCTTTTTAGCAATTTAAAACTAGCTTGCTTAAAACTAGCTTGCGCCATGTAGTTAACTGGTCTCAGTTAGACAGGAGCCCAATTTATTCAGCTATTTTATTGTAGTTATGATAATTACCTTATAATTAAATTGCCAATTTAGATTACAAACCTCAAGCTCACGTCAAGCTTTATAAAAATTTGATCCCATCTTTTATTTTCAAAGCATATGACATAAACGTAAAAGTTGCAAAATAATAAACATTCATTTGCAATGTCATTTATTTATTGTTTATTTTTTAATAAATAATAATTCTGTATTTTTAATTGTGTATTTTTGTTTTAATGGGCGACTAAATGAATAAATTATGCACCTATTTTTCTGCTAGTTATTTTTGCTAAAAAGATAATCTATTTAGGAATTTTAAAAAGTTAAGTACTGTAATTAACTAAAAGAGTATTGTGTATCTCAAAGTTTGATAAATTTACAACTTTAAAACGAAAGAATATATAATGTGTGAATTAGGCACCACATTCCAGATGCCAAAATAAGCAGGCTGGCAGTATCGTTCAGATTGAAAATATTGTATATAAAATTATTTCAGACTTGAATTACCGTCTTCTTGTTATCTGTGGTTCTGACAATGAGCATAAATCCACAATGGCCTCTTCCCTGGACAAATTCAAGAGACAACCATTGTTGGGAAATATATCTTATCTACGGGAATACCTATCAAACAAACTTACTGTCTCACAGCTAACTATATCTGGAGCAAGACCTGCAGCTAGTGTTGATCATCAAAGGTCAGATAATTAGTAAAAATTTATCATAACTTAGCAATGTATAGATACATGTTACTTGTATATACCCAAAATGTAATAAAATTGCATATTCTGAGATATAAATTGATATGAATGTTGAATTGATAATGGTCAGACCTGCGTTCAGTGAAGTTAGAATTAGTGTATTTCAGTGCTACTATGTTTCTTGTAAACATAATGATGATATTTTATTATTGAGAAATAAAATACTCGTATACAGGTTTATCATACTAATTGTAGGCATTCTGTTTGTGTCATTAAATCATGGAGAGCAGGAGTTGGGAAAACCTTATATAAAAACAGGAGAGAGACCGATGTATCTCGACTTAACAAAGGGTCAGTTAATACCGAGACAGTGTCTATACCACTACAAGAGAAAACAATAAATCTTCATTATGTGATAAAGAGACTTCTAGAACACACAGCAAAACCAGGGGAGATCACTGCCAGACTGTTCCATATTGATGTAGCTCATGAGGTAGTTATATTAATACGATTCACATCCTTACGACTCATATTATTATTTATAAAAATATTGTACATTTTGTAAGTAGGACAGATACATTTTTAAGATGATAAATTGTTCAATTATCTTTCAGGTGGAAAATGGAGTTGACTATTTACTGTTCAACCTTCTGCTTCTTGGTTGTTTGACAGACAAGACAGGTTTTGTTTGGAGGAAATCTGCTACCGATATGTATCTCATTGAGACCACGCCTTTAATGATGCAGACTGCTAATAGGAAGGTAACCATTTACAACTTGTAATGATCTTGTCATAAAGAAACAGAATGGCAACTCAACTTAGCAAACTATGATTTTACACTTTTGCACACAATTGTATCTTATTTTATGATACGTTCATTTGTTGTTGCTGTTTTATATTAGTTAGATTTAAACATATTTTCAGCTTAAAATACGCGAGGTAGGATGAAACTTTTTCTATCAGTGTAAAACGAACTTAGTCTTTGACTTAGGCATGCGTATGGTTTATTCAGATAGACGTAACTTAAATGCCTGGTTAAAAAGGACAGTTAATGCGAAATGGACTGGCAAATTTTCAACTTTAATATACTTCTACTTGGACAAAACGTAGTGAAAATTTTTTAATTAATTTTGTATTTTGTACACTTCCCCTCAATCAAATTTAAAAATGCATTGTTCACTTTAAAAAATAATAAGCATTACTCTCTGTTTTCCTTAGAACTTATATTATAGGAGTGATGTATTTAGAAAACTCATAGTTATATAATATAAGAAAACTCAGTAGCTTAGTGTTTATTCAATTTAATTCTACATATTGAATATTGGCAATAACTCGTGATAATAGCATTATATATCATGTAATGCATATAAGCCATGTGCATCAATATATACATAAGTGACTAGAAATATATGATCAGTATTTATTGTTTAACAATAAGTCTGTAAATGTTTGCTGCTGGTTAGTATTGTGAAAAACTGTTGTTTGTAATATAAAGGGAGATAACTTGCAGTATGTACACCCAATGTTGAATATTCTACCAGATCTTACATGTCGATCACCTCAGGAAAGCTTACAAATTTATTCTGGGGAACAGTTTAAAGGTATACGTTAATGAAGTATTTTTGCTTAATTTTTGAATATAGTATAATTTATGTCTAAACAAATATTTATAGAAGATTCTAAGGAATATTATTATAAATATACATTTCAATGGCATATTAAACGTTGCAATATTCATTAAACTAAATTTTTGTTCTATATCCAATATTCATATTGTATAACTCTAATTTTATATTCTATACCATAATATTTATTCAATCCTGCTGAATATGTGTTCATCATAAGAAATATTTGTGTGCGATAATATTCTATATGTATATTCAATATTTGAATATATATATTGTATAATCAAAATATTTATTGTATACATGTAGATCAATTGAAAAATGTTTATTCGATAATTTAAATCATGGAATAGAACACTTAGCATACTAAGCCCCGTCTTAGTCTGGTTCCCGTCGTACTATAAAATCTATTGAACGGAGAGAAAAGGGCAGGTAATCCAGACTAAGCCCCGTCTATAAAATAAGCACGAATGTTTGATAAAGCGTTAGGTACCATCCTGATAAAACTACACTATAGTGCAGTGGAAATGATCAGCGTCCCTAAGAATGTCACTTGTAAATAGTGCATATGCTTAATCCTCCTTATAAATGTTTAGGTATATGTAATATTGGAAATAGATTTTAAAGTATTCAGGACATGCAATCGTATAAATAAAAGATATAGAATAAATGTAGGTTTAATAATAAATTTATTGAACTTGTTGAATAAAACAATATTATGCGAGCCTCTGTTGACCGCTAACATTAGCGTAATATCGTTTTTATTTGTTTGGGTCGTCAGACCAAACAAATAATGGTAGCGAAATTTCAGACTCTAATGCTGTTAATTGCAAATGCCGAAAATAGTCCGCTTTTTTGAAGCGGATACTTCCCTTTATATGTAAACTAATGCCGAAAAATTCAGGGGAGATCACTGCATAAAGATGGTCAAAAGACAGGCGCATTAATTTTCAAGCAAAATAATTCCCGAATGGTCGAAGATTTCTAATATTGTTTTATTCTTTATAGATATGCATGCTTATAGTAAGCTCCATGATTATTTACATCTGTGTTAAACAACAGTAAGCGTCGTTACAAACCCTAATTTAGAATGATATGGTTTTGGGTTATGAATAGTTTAAATGTGAACTACAGATAGAATTCTTAAAAACTGATAATTTGTACAATTTTGTGAATTCGATTTTATTACCAGCATGTACTAGTTTCACCTTTTTATTTATTAGTACCTTAGGAATAACATAGCAGACTTCGTTTCCTAATCACTTAGATACATAGAACTAATATTCAATCAAGATAGAAAATACATCATTTTTCTTCTTATTGTAACTTGATTGTGTTCAATACATATTTCAAGCTATTTATTACTCGATTTTAAAACCGGGACCAAATATAGAGCAGGTACATCAATATCAAATCAACGTTGTTAGGGCTTTTTTTATCGTAAGTAAATTTTTATCTTATGATAAATTTTTAACTTAGAGTAGCTTTGTGAAAATGATCTAAGATTTCACTTACGATTATCGTAAGTCAACAACTTGAGATAAATCGTAAGATTTTTTTGTGAAAATGTCCGCAGCTCTTTACACATTTACGTAGGCTAATACGTGTTTCTTGCGGCTGATCCACTGCCTATATATATCTGTACAAGTCGGTATCATATGTTACTGTTATAGACTGTATGATTATAAATGAGCTATTGTAATGACGCAAACTTCCTTTCTTTTCTTCTGTTATTTGATAGCACATGTAATTAACTATTATATGTCTTATATTAATATAATTTTGATGCATGATAATGTATCATACATACGAGAAAATAAAAGAATAATACAACTAAGAACAAAATTGTCATTATTTAAAAAATATAACGCATAACCAATTTTGGACAGGACTGTTAAATTGTAAAAACAATCACGATTAGACTAGTACGAAGAATAATAAAATGATTTATACAATAGTAAAACAAGAACATAATACTCACACTGGCAAAAGCTTTCGCAGAAGCGGTGGGTCCATCGAAGCCGCGGTGGAAATTTCGTCGCAGAACCTGTGGATAAAATATTGCTGTTTGGTTGGAGCCCACATATGTACTTTTCCAACTTATTACGCGCACACTGTGCAATTCATTGCCATTTGTGCTATCACTTCTGTACAGTTTGACGAGGGGACGTCACCTTTGCCTAATTATAGTTAAAACACATACACGTATGTGCAAAACGACCCCTAAATACACCAACATTACATGGTATGTATGATAAATGCACATAACAACCATATTTTGGAGCTTTTTAAAATTGTTATTGCCTTTTTTATGGAACAATTGACAAAAATTGTTTACAACGCAGACGGCGGTCGATTTGATTGCAACGCAGTGCGTTTGTCCCGACACAATAATTGTCCATTATGAGGGTTTACTTGAGATAACTCATTTTTTTATAGCATACAACACTTTTCTTACTTTGACCTCTAAGACACGTGTTTAATTAAAATAATATGATTATTTATGCTAATAGATGTTTGAGTTGCGCTTCTATTTTCCTTCCATTGTAATTTCTTTGGTAGAATAGTTTACGTTCAACCTGGAACTTAAAAAGACCTTGAGTTCGAGGTTTAACAACAAACATAAAAGAAATTCTTGTAAAGATTAACAGAACCTGCTTCTTAAATATGAAAAACTATCTCAGTTTTGAATGTCACTGTGGTATACAGTGTAACTTCTGAAAACCGAACACCCATGGGTCTTGTCAAAAAGTTCGGATTTCAGAGGTTTCCGGAATTCAGAGGTTTCGGATAATGTGGACAAGACTAAGCCATTACATGTCACTAAATGTCAAGGAAAATGTGGCCACTACTATTATATCATATATAATAGTCTTTTAATCAAGATAAAGATGTGAAGGAAAGAAAACATTGATATTTAACACTTAATTTAACTTGCATATTGTCCGATGCTAGTTAATTAATTAGTACATCAAATGCAATAAAATCCCTAAAGACTTTTGATGCACACATTGTCCCAATTAATTGTCATTTAATCCGCTAATAAACACTTCAAATTAACTGACCGCCGTAAATTACTTTAATTGACCGCATCACTTCAAACATGCCATTTCTCAGTTTGTGATTTTAACGCGTGTCCAATTACACGATCACCGCTAATTAGTAAACAATTGACAGGGAGATTAAATCTTCCTGCAGGGTAAACATTCTCGATTTACAATGTATTTCACACCTTTAGATATTTCCGGATTTTGGAGGTAAAATTGCATTGATTTGACTCTAATTTTACGAAAATATCGTCCGGAATTCAGAATTTAGAAGTTCCGGAATTCAGAAGTATTATATTAATAGAAAATAGAAGGGGAAAAATCGGGACCGAAAAAATTGTTCGGTTTTTAGAAGTTTCCGGATTTCAGAAGTTCCGGAATTCGGAAGTTACACTGTATTACCATACTGAAAACACCAATTCATACTTGTATCATAGTTTGGGGACCTTTCTGTTGAAAATGTGTCAGAGTTCAATCGTATACGTATACGGTCATAGTGTGTTGTCTTGAGTGCAGTTTTAGTTACCCGCACTTGAAAGCATGTCCATTGATTGGTGCACAGTGAAAGGGATAACAATAGAAATGTCTTATTTAGTACGCTCCGCCCGCAGGCACTAAAATACACTCTCGCTACTTCAGACAAGAAAGTGATCGATAGAAGAATATTCGACCGGTGCACGGGAGAGTACATATTTAGATGCTCGTTCATCGGTTATTTTTTTGGGGGGTGGGGGGTGGGGGGGTTTCATATTGCGTCCACAGGGAACGTGTTTTAATCTTTGCCTACGATAGAAAAAAGTTTCATATTGCGACAACAGGGAACGTGTTTTTATTTTTGCCTATGATACAAGAGAGCTTTTGTAGACCAATAGCCACTTACAGTCTTACATTTGGTTGAAAAGAAACATAATTTGAGAAATAGGAAAACAATTTTTTAAGTTTCAATGTTTAACTCAGACTGTGCAGTACATGGTCGCTTAGGGTTCAGTACTTCAGTACTGAATTATTGAACACGTTTGATAAAATATTACTACTTTATTTAACCAACGATAAATGATTTAAGTAATCAGGGCTGGGAATCAAAACTGCAATGTAAACTTTCAAATTAAATGTTATATTGGACATGCCACAATGTATTCTAAATAGAACATTGCTATACACCGCAAATGATCTGGGGTTTTTACTTAGCCCGTGATTATTCCATAAAATAGAAATATATTGCCAAAACTATTCCTGTTGAAAAGACCGCCAAAAATACAACTGCGTCGTATCATATTTTATTTTCAACTGCGTCGTAATTTCGTAAAAATCATTATTTTCTTGGAAAATAAACATCTCTTCTTAATGAAAGTTTAGTAAATGATGCAAAATTATGTTTTGAAGTTTATGGTGAACTCTGAAAACGAGTATATAATTGATTTGAAGGAAAAAAGATAGATAAAGCAATATGAACTGCGTCGTATCCACACATTTTCATAAAAATTCTGCTCCGCTTCGTGTTGCAAGTTCGCTATAATTTTTGTTTTACAAAATAGTTGTGCAAGCAACATATACCGAACGAAGTGGAAAATGTGTAGCGTGTTAATACATATATCTGGTTTTCAGTCATTTCCAACAAAAGGAGTTATAAACAAAAACATACATTTTTCGTTCCAAGATGGCAGCATTTGTTTACATTTTGTAGGATACGACGCAGTTTTGATTCCCAGCCCTGGTAATAGAAAATATACGTTTATCACATTTCCAAAATAATTAGAGTTTACAGTCAAAACTTAAAAGAAATAACTGTAACATTTTAGGACCTCTTTGGAGTCAGATTTAAAATTTTTCTAAACTTTGCATTAGAGAAAACCATTCACCGATCTTTTTTTCAAGTTTATCACATGAAAAGTAAATAAGATCCTTTTTTCTTATTTTTATTAGCTAACCTTCTCTGTATTTGTAACTAGTAAAGAACAGAATATTAAGTTTTTCTTCTTTTGCTTAAAGTGTGGCATTCATCGAAGAAAATGGTATGTAATTTCAAAAATGGTATATCTTTAAAGACTTCAAATTACCTCTCATGAAAAATGTAACAGAAATATTTCATGGACTTTTTTGGTTGAAAATATGGAAAAATATACTGGAAAACATTACAAAAGGAAAAAAAAAGATTTTTTCAGACGTATGTATAAGGTATCTGCCCCTGAGATTATCCCAAATAACTAAACATAAATTAAATTCATGTGCAGAAAATGAGATCGGTGACTCCTAAGTTGTTTGGGTTGAAATGTTTATCATATTCTATCATCATGCCACGTTTTAAGAATATATGCCGAACATCTTTAATTTTGCCTATATGTCTTTATAATACTGCTTGTTTGTTACGTCGATTTCCATTGGATAATCATGCAGTATAATAATAGAAGTTATAAAGATTTTTGACAGGTTATGTGACCGTTTTTTGACAGGTTATATGGCCGTTTGTTGCCGAACTGATAAGCTAAAGTTTTGTTGCAATCGATTATATTTGACCATATAACCCGTAAAAATCTTCATAACAAATTTATAATACAGCAAGCATTTTTTTTTATTGAAAAACAAATGATTTCTTCATAAATTGACAGCATCCGTTATATAAAGCTATATAACTATATGCAGTATAATACAGATTGTTACAGGGTTATCTACCGTTTACACCGATGCTAGAAAAATCCGTCTAACACCCCCATGTAAGACAAGTCGCTCGCTTTAAATAACGTCATTGCCGCGCGCCATTTATGAATGAATTGCGTTCTTAGGAAGATGTCATTTTACCATTATGAATGAAGTGGTAATTTCATACGCTACTATAAGGAAAAAGCGCGTTATGAGAATATCAGTTTTTGCGACATCTGTTCTGAAAATGATTGATATGTAATATGCAAGAAAAAGAATCAAACACCGGCTGTTGGTACAGCCGGGAATGTCTTGCTCTTGGCCCCCAGCAAACACCTGACGTTGTTTCAACGTTGGATCAAAGTTGGATTTATGTCATGACGTCAAAATCCTAAATACAACGTTGAAACAACGTTGTATTTGCGACATCGTATCAACGTGTTGAAATTACGTCGATAGGACGTCGGATTTCAGTGTAATCCAACAAAGTAGTCTTGATTGAGTTACTTCCCTCTGTTCTGATTTATAAACCCGATAGGTGGCTCTAATTTCAGGTCAAGATAATCATTCGAACTTTGTTATTCATTTTTTTTTCACATCCATTACATTTTTTAAAAAAAATTGTTGTTATACTAGACCATAAAAAGGAACAATATTAGTATTTCAATTAAATAAATTGAAAAAAATAATGGAAACTTGATGAATTTCAAAACGAGGCTACAACAACAATTTGTTTTCAAATTCAAACAAAGACAAAGGAAGGACATTATGCACATCATAGAAGACAACTCGCATAGTGAAAAGTAAGTGATATTTTTGAAGGTAGATTAGTATTAAACTTACTGCATGCATAGTATAATAACTGAAAAATTATTAGTTACATTAGGAATATAATTATATTTTCATGATATTCAAGTATCTCAGTTCTAAACCAGTTAATGATGTAGTCTGATTCGCCCTCATTTAACTCGTACTTTGGGATTCAATTGATATATAAATTGTTTGAAATTCTGTCAAACTTTTTGTTTTATTTGTGTTGTCATTTTAAGCCAAGATCCCTACATGACCTTAATCTTTCTATTTCGATTTATCAGATTAATAGACTAGATAACAATAGGTATTTCACCACAACGTATTTGTTAACAAAGGAACACCTGTCAATATTTGAGATTTAATCTATTGTTATTCAAATAGATCTACATGTTAAAGGTCAAAGTAGGGATCTATCAATACATAAATATACCGGCAAAGTAAATTTATGACTTTTTGTCAATAATCATTTGGTTTTGTTTTTTATAGACTGACACTTAATTTTTGTGTGATGACAATTAGCTGCATGAAAAAACAGTCGGCAGAAAACACCATTTGGACATAAAAGAATGATAAGTGCATCAAATATAGGTATAGGTAATATATGGATTTTGATTTTGTTATTTACTGTAATTTCTGTAAAATAATTACGTGAAATGTCTTATGATTGAATTTGCACCTTTACATGAACTGTTTTGCAAATTACATATATTTGAAGTTACAGTTTTTGAGTGTTCTACATCATCAATCGACATCTGATTTTAATTTATGATATGCTAGGGTAATCTATTGGTAATAATATTTCTATTTAATATAATTTAATTGACCATTTTAGTTGTTATGTACACTTATTTATTTCTGTTTCTTTTTTGCAGTTTCAAGGAAAAAAAACAAGTTGAACCTCAAAACAAGTTTGACACAGTGTCTTCGTAGATGAAAATAATCAGGATCCAGTGGTGGACGTTTAGTATACCAAAATTATTCACATGGAGGAGTATATCTCCAAATTTAATACTTTTAAGTTAGTTTTGAAAGAATAAAGATAAAAAATTACTTACTTTCTTTAAATGTGAATATTTATTTATTGTTTTGTGTGTTACACTTAATTTTGACAGAAAGGAATATTTTCCCTCACTTGTTACCGATGAAATCAACTGCAAAAGAAAGCTTTATTTTCCATGATTTCCATTTTCTATGAGTAATTTAAAAGAAAACCTTTTTAAGCATGTTGTAAACATGAATACTTTAATTGACATATATTGTAATAGTTAATGTATACTGTAGACCTTTAAATGAAAATGATTTGTTGACTGTTGTTTGTTATAATTTTGGATTACAAAATGTGTATTATTGTATTGACTGAAAGAGGTCTGATAAATGTTGAACTTCAATTTTGAAAAGACATGTAGCTCTTATTTTTTTTAATTTTAATAGTTTATATACAATTTATAAATATCAAACTTTATTTTATTATCACTATAAATGATTAAAAGTGAGTCATTTTTGTGATGTTATACAAATGTGTTGGAAATATATATTTACTGTATATTAAGTTTTACATGAATAGATAAATCAGAAACTGTGTTATACATTTTGTTTAATTGTTTTTATGATCACTTTCTTAAAATAATAAAATCACTTTTCGAGTATAGAAAGTTTTGTATTTTCTCTTTATTTGGGAATTATTTAATGAAAACGGGTCAGATTTATGTTGGGAATTGGTTGGAATTACGTTGGAAACTAGTTGGTATTACGTAAGTAACTGGTTGGAATCATGTTGGAAACTGGTTGGATTCACGTTGGGAATAGGTTGGAAAGTAGTTGTATATACGTTGAATAGAGGTTGGATTTATGTCATTTTATGACGTTGGATTGACGTCGGACTCTGACGTCTAAAAAACTTTCATATACAACTAAATTCCAACGTCTATCCAACGTCGGACTCTAACGTCTGAGCAACGTTGAAACAACGTCATGTGTTTGCTGGGGGGTAACTGTTAAGCGGCAACTCGGCAGTGCCTCGTTACCGTAGTAAACAGTTAACCTCGAGCAAGACATTCCGGTCTGTACCGGCAGCCAGTGTAAGATCCTTATAACATATAATTATAATGTTTTAAACACTCAAAGATGTCTCTGATGTCAACGTAAGAAAAGGTATGTTCTAAATTGAAAAATGCGTTATGTCAAGTTAAACCCTCACAATAGAATTTAATGGTATCGGGACCACCGTACTGCGTTGTAATCGAATCAACTGCCGTCTGCGTTGTAATCAATTTTTGTCAATTCTTCTATAAAAAGGCAATAACAATTTTCAAAATTCAAAATTATGGTTGTTTTGGTGCAAGTATTATACATATGATGTTATACTGGTGTATTAAGGGGCTATTTTTGCACACAATAGTACGTGTTTTAACCTTAAATAGGCAAAAGTGGCGTCCCCACGTCAAACTGTACATAAGAGTTAGCAAATGGCAATGAACTGCACCCTGTGAGTGTAATAAGTTTGAAACGTACATATGTGGACTCCAGTCTCACTAGGTGTTTCCGGTAAAACATTAAAACATAAAGTAAAATTTAGTCATAAATTTACCGACAGCAGCAAACAACCATAATTTATCCACCGCTTCTGCGACAAAATCTCCACCGCCACTGCGATGAACCAACCGCTTCTGCAAAAGCTATGGCCAGTTTGATAATAATTGCATTAATATTTATCATGTTAAATTCCTTAGTAACACTGTGTATATTCAGTAACGCAAGAATGTGCAAATAATACAAAAATCGTGCAAAAGTAACGCAGAATTTTTCAATTTAGTGGCTAAAACGAGCACTGCGATAAGTAAATGGACGAATATTTTTCATTGTACACCAAAATTGAAAGAAATGAATTAGAGCATACGGTTGCTGAGACATTATACTTTAAACCTCATCAAAAATATTTCCATGAAAATGTTTATTTTTCAAGATCATATGTGAAAATGACGACCTGACCAGCATATTGATGGCTATTTTTAGTTTTGATGATATCTTTGAATACAATAACATACATTTTACTTTATGATGTTTTTATATTCGGTATACCTGAGATATTTTCCAATCTGCTCGTGTCTTATTACACTTAATTTAGCAGATAAAACGTAATTGAGACCATTTTTACGAGGTAACGCTGCATTCGTGAATGACGCACTTAAGCAACGGTGGTTATCTCATTAAAAGTAGCTAAATCCTATATTACCAGCTTCGTTCTATTGTTATACGACACTTGTAGTTTGACAAAGGTTTACAGAATATGAAAAAATAATGTTTTGTACATATTCATTTGACGAAACACAACAGTCTCCTTCAAAACGGTAATCAGGTTGTCTTTCTCGCGAATGATCTAAACAAATAAAAATATTCCTGAAAAACATTGTAATGCTGGTTAAAGTATAATATCGTAGCAGCCGTATGCGCTAATTTATTTCTTTAAATTTGATTTAGAATAAAATAGTTTGGTTCGTTTACTTACTGTGTTATTCGTTTTGGCATTAGCGTTGCACAGAATCGGCGTTACTTTTATGTTATTTGCACATTCCTGCGTTATTGGATATGCACGGTGAGTTAGAGTTGATTGCACAGTCCCGTAGCTACTGTCGAACATCGTCCACAGTCAATCGCCTGACACTTTTGAATGTCTCTCTCGGCGATTGATGTCACCAACGTCCTTGTAAATTTCTTCTTTCTGCCTGTCCCTTTTTTTCTTTTTTCAATTTCTCAATCACCCTTTCTTATTCAGTTATTTCAATAAAAATTATGCTGTGGCTACCTTAACCTTTTCCCTTTTTTCATTATTCCTTTCTATGTTTTAGACAGTTTCTCGACTTACTGTTGACACAATTTCTTATTAATTGAATTTCGTGACCATAATTTTTACGCAAGTTTTTCTTTTACAAGTGACATATTGTAATTGCAAAGATAAATCTGGTTTAAATGAAGTCATTTTTTTCTGACAACGTCAAATATGGCTCATGACGTTTCGTATTTTGAAATCTAATTGTGTCATCTTGTAAAATATACGCTTCATTAAGCGCCTATTGTCAGCTAGCACAAATTTATGCACTGCGCCGGATGAGCGTTGCCATGTTTTTTTTCAATTCGCTGTTACGTACAAGCTATATGCGTTATCAAATTAGATATGGTATAGTTTTCCGATCAATTGTGATATATAACAATAAGTGATAGTTTGATAATTCTTCAATTGACAGTCACAGTCCGGTTCTTTTTTGATCATCCCTTGTATGTCTTGAAAACTTTAAAATCTTTTTCCATTTTTAGACATACATATACGATACATATCGTATATTTATAAGGAGGACGAAGCATATGCACTATTTACAAGTGTCATTCACAGGGACACTGATCATTTCCACTACAGTCTATCAGGATGATAACGCTTTATCAGAAATCCGTGCTTACTTTATAGGCGGGGCTTGATTTGCTAAGTGTTCTATCCCATGATTCAAATTATCGGATAGGTATTTTTCAGTACTGTTTCCAACAAATATTTTGAAATATACAATATATATTTTCAAATATAAAACTATACATATAGAAAATTATCGCACACAAATATTTTTTGATGAACATATATTTTTAGATAGAATAAATATTATGGTATAGCACATAAAATTAGAGTTATACAAAATAGATATTGGATATAGACCAAAAATTAAATTTATTGAATATTGCAACATTTAACATACCATACATTTCGTTGAATTCTGGCTTTGGACCTAATTAAAATGTACCATAATATTTTTGATTGAACCAGGTAAATAGCATTGAGCTTAGACATACTCTGTAATAATTGAGAATTATCAAAGTTGAACATTTTATTTTTCTTAATTTTAGGAAACAAAGCGGTTCTCACAGATGTATGTTTTGATATCTTTAAAATGTAGTCCTTATAGTATACAAATGATAACAGTATCTTTTTATTTGTCTGAAATATTTAGATTACAAGGACTCTGATCAGTTATTTGATGAGAAACAGTTTAGAAGCCCAGTATTCCAGCGTACATTCCAGTACTTACTGAGACTAGATCAAGGGAGACAACTTGATGATGTCAAGCCAGACAATCCAGAAGAAGATCCACAAACATGCCTTCAAACTCTTTTAAGGTTCCGAAGAACATTTTTCATTTGAAATCTGTTCAAAATATATTTGAAACTGGCTACTTGTACCAATGGCTTAAAACTATACACAAGTCCTCCATATTGTCATTTCAAAAGTAGAAATTTTGGCCAGTGATGTACATTTATTTGTTACCATTAACCATCATCCTCTTTATGAACTCTGAAAATACATATATTGCGGGAACTTAGTATGTATAAAGTTTTGTTTGAACCAGCTGCTTTATACTTCATAACGTATATTATACATTTACAAATCCAGGAGTCATGCTATTTGTTACTAGCTAGATATATAAATTGCATCATACCAAAACACACTACTAATGCACAATTTAATACAAATACAATGGCCATGATTGTTGCTAGATACAACTCTTGCATCCATTTTCACAGTCATCTTCCTAAAGTATTTTTAATTAACTGGTTATTTGTCAACTAAATTATAGCAAAATTGCAGCGTTTGGCACTTTTTATAGGAAAATATGAAAGTCTTAACAGCGATAGGTTGTCAAACCTTGACAACTATTTTCATTAAAAGGGCATTTCCAATAGTTAGCTTACGCAATCACTGTTTAAGTTATTTAACATGTCAACAATTTTCATGTTTTTTTCTTATTTTTTGCAACTTTTTCACATCATACAAGAAACAGTGACACTTTTTAATTCGATGACAAGTACAAAATGTTATGAAAGTAAAATGTCGTTTTCTGTTGTCATGACATCAGCCATTCATCTGTTATTAACTTATAACTTATTATAAGGATCGATTTCCTTGGTTTTGTTGATTTAATAGTTTCTTAATTGCCGTTATCTTGTGTTTTCCAAATACATGTTCCTGTTTGCAATAATTGTTTTACTGATGCTTCATAACAGAATGACATTATACATGTATGTTTATGTGATTATGTCATGATAGATGTAAACATAATTAATCATAAACTATTACCTTTTCCAGACATTGTGGACAAGAAGATCCATCTTGGTCGGAGCTTCATCAATTTGTTTGGTTTCTGAACAAACAGCTGGTAGATTTTGAGAATAACTTTGTTAGTGCAACTGCTGCAGAAGATCTTCCTGGATTCTCCAAGTTTGTTCTCCGATTTCTTATACAGATGTCAAGGGTATGATAATTTTCTAAATATAAGTTCAGCCAAAAAAGTGTTGACAGAGAAAACAACAGTGCTTGGAATGAATTTGGTCATAATGCTTAAAGTAAATTATTCAGGACAAATCTAGTTCATTATAAGTCCTATTTTATCAATTTGATTTAATTTGTTTAATTTGCAGGAATTGAAAAATATCTACTTACATGCTATTTATTCACTATACACAATCATTATATAGAATCATTGAATATTTTTATCTTACAAATTATATAGTGATATACATGTATAGATTTAAAACAGTTATCAGAAAAACAAATGTATGAAGTTACAAAAACAACATTGATCTCTTGTTACAAATTTTAATTTGCTATCATTGATAGTTTGATATAAAACCTGTTTCTGCATTAATGTAACTAAAGGTTTATAATTACCTGATTATGTTGTACATATCCTTGTCCCATGTTATCACACTTATTTACCATAAAAATACTTAAACACTTTGAGAGCTTAAACAAAACTATATCTTCAAATTGCTAAGATATCAAGTACATCCTCTGTAATTTGCAATCTTCAATGACCCAGAATCTTAGAATTAAAAATTTACAACTGTATAACTCAGGGCAGGTCCATCTGTATGTAAAACAGTATGTAATAAATTAGTCATGCACAGATGGTGGGAAAATGCTGGTCAGTTGAGTTTTACCAGAGCTTTGATCTGTGTAGTGTAAAATCTCGGTGTATATAGTATTTATTTACATAAATAAAAGCAATTATTTGGCATATTGCTTGATCAATTTTTATATAGATTAAAAGGGTATCATACATGAGATTATTTCATGCACTGTTTGTGTTTTGTTTTTGTTTATTATTTATTTATTTTATTATTATTATTATTATCATTATTATATATATATATATATTTTTGTTAAAACAAAAACATGAATTCTTAGAATTTAAAATGAGTTCTGTAGGCTTTCCTATATTCTGCAGTATATTCAAATTTAAACAGCATTCTTATTTCAATGTTGCTTTCAGATGATGTCCCAAAATCATATTTAAAGTTACATAATACAGTATAATTATTATGTATATACAAGCTGTATGAACAATCTTTATATTTTAAACTTACGAATTTTGGAGGTGAATGTTTTCAAGTTCTACACCTAGATTATTACAGTTGTTTTTCAGTACAAAAATAACTTGCTAAATTAGTATTTTCTAACAATATATCATTTTAAGCAGGCCTAAATGTCTAAAAAAAATAACCTATTGATTCTAAAAATACACCTGTAATAATTCTTGGTTAAATATCATACTTCAGCAAAAGTAAGAAGTAAAGTAGGTCAAAACAACTTATATGTTAGTGCAAAATCAAGAGTAGAATTATGATTTGGACATCTTATAATATTTTATGTGAAATTCTGTTCAAGAAAAATGTTTAAGTATACAATTCTGCCCATAGTGAAGACCATTCCGTCCCAAGAAAATTTCAAAGTTGATAATTTCGTCTTAGATGGAATTTTTAATTATAAAATTCTGCTCGAAATAAAATTCTAGCCGGAATAATTCTAGTTTTCCGCCCAGAAAAGTCAACAAAATATTTTCCTTGTGAGACTGAATGAAACGGAAATTGCATTTCTGTCCCTGGTCCGCCCAGAAATCACTGATTCCATGCCAATTCCGTGCCAATTCCGCCCAGAATCCGTGAAAAAATTTCGTACGGGTATACAACGTTGTTCTTAAATGATATTTCTTTGGTATTTAAGTCATCAAATGTATTATGCTTGTAAAATGTTGTTAATATTTTATGGAATAATGACAAAAAGTATTACAACAAATAACAAATCATGTATTTGCCAAATCGTTCGCAAATGGAGAGTTAAATTGGTAAATGAATGATAGGTGTTGCACTTCAGGATTTTTCAACAAGGTCTTTGGATATAAAGAAAGAGTCATCAGGAGTTAGACTAGAAAGTAGACAATATAACATCCATTTGGAAATTGATATTGGTGAAAATGAAAGTGATATTGATGATAGTGATAATGATGATGAAAAGGAGGTGAACGATAGTGGCGAGTCGGAAAATAATAATGATAGTGTGTTACAGGCATATCAGATGAGAAGAACATGGGAGAGCAGGTACAGTTTATTTGATAATTAAGTACAGTATGTGTTGAGAAGTTCTTGAAATTTGGAATTTCTTGCAAGTATTGAAAAACCAAATTTAGAGACTGTTAAATTAAATATGTTCATGAAAGATAATGGAAGGTGCAGAATTGTTCTTGCCCTTAACACAAGCCTATGCATTATACAGTCTTGATATCTTACATCCTGGAAAATATGTAGTATTTTGCACTATAAATATCATTTTCCAATTGTATTTTAAATTGTTCATGCTGAGGCTATAATTTATTAAATTTAGCAATGATGCTCTTAGCTTCCAATATAATGAATGATATATAAACACAAACCCTTGTATAAAAAGCAAAAACATCTAGTTTGTTTAAATATTTTAAATTTGAAAATTCATATATTTTGTATACATGGCAATGTTTCAAACATATTTCATACTTTTTCAGTCCACATCCATACCTGTTTTTCAACTCTGACAGATTAAGTTTCCCCTTCCTTGGCTTTTATATTGAGAAAAGTTCAGGAAACTTGATAGATCAACAAACAGGGAGAGTATTAGAACGAGGAATTATGACACAAAATTTGTATGACTTCCTTGTTAGAAACCATGCACCAATACAAGAAAACTTTGATAACCTGCCGAGGTACATTGAAGCTGTAAATTAAGTTACGATATCTTTTAAAGATTCATTTACAACTTTGTTCAGTAGGAATTTCAGCATTTAGGGTGGGTATTATCAAACTGACTTTTTCATGTAATTTTGTTGTGATTAATGCTTCAGAGGGATTACTGTGTTTCTATATTTTTAAACTGCTCATCAGCAGGTGTCAAGTGTTGTGTGGCAACTGTAAACAGTTGCCCCTTACTTCATTTCAATGTTGTCATATTTTTCTGGTCTTTTGGGATCATTGATGCCATCACTATAGAGTGTCGCTCTTGAGTAACACTCAAGCCGGTGCTAGGGGTGTGAGGGATGATGCACTTAATCATAATCCTTTATGTACAGACTCAACCAAACCGAGTCTGCAATTTATATGTAATTTTGTTGTGAGTAATGCTTCCCGGGGATCACTTTTTTCAGATTTTTAACACAAGTGAGAAGAAAAAAAATAAAATCGAAGATATGCGGTACTGGTATTTGTGTTGATAAATTAACTATGTAAAGTTACCCTTCTATATATTGAAAAGATTTTTCATATAAAAACATCCAAATTAGAAATCAGTCCACCGAGACAAGTTGCGAATAATAGACATACCTAGATATTATCCACTCAGCTACAAAGGCCGATATTTTATCTACAACTTAAATTGTGTAAATGTCGTTGGTGTGTGTGGTATTGTTTATGTACACCAGTATGATTCAATGTGTGTTATGTTGCTGTTATATGTTCTTGATTGCTCAAATTTTGCCAAGGGTAACATGTATGTGTTTAAGGTTACATTTTTTAGTCTTCTGCACTACGTTGTTTTCAATGATTTATTTTTTGTTGAAAATGATTGACTTCTGTAATCCGTCTTCCAACCTTAAGGTAAATGTGATTTATCAGATATGCCTTATTGTTAAAAAGCACATGAACGTAAGGGAGTCTACTTGAAAATTCTTGTTGAATAAAGTCCTGTTACCTTATAATAAATTAATGTTGTGTCGCTTTAATTTAATAAATAATTTTACATGCTTTTAGACACGAAAAAATCGTGAAGCTATGTAAGTGTATGGGTTTAGATATGCCTCATGATCCTGATGATACCTATGAGTTGACAACTGACAATGTGAAGAAAATCATGGCAATATATATAAGATTTAGGTATGTTTGCAAAACGATAAATTAACTTTTTCTGCTACTGTATTGCAAAAGATTGTATGACCATCTTTATATTAAAATTTGACTCATACGGAGATAGTTATTTTGCAAATTAATTAAAATGTCTGATACTAATTCATAAAATAATTATTTTTAAACTATTTCGGAACAAAGAATACCAGAAATTCTTGAAACACAATTAGTTATGCATTGTTGAAAAATGCATTTGTACATGTATGATGGAATTAAATATTTAGGTTTGTACACGTTTCTACTGTTATTTTAAGTTATGTGAATATAATGCTTATCTAATAATTTAACAAGTACTACAATTGAATCTCTTGTTTCATATTTCTGCGTGTTTTAAGGTATGATATACCAGTTATCATTATGGGAGAGACAGGATGTGGTAAATCAAGATTGGTCAAGTTTATGTGTTCTCTACAACAACCACCTGGTGTTGACATGACAAACATGATTCTCATGAAGGTATTATTAAAGATTGTAATGAATTTGAAACGAATGTGTTTGCTGCTGATTTCTCATTAGATAGTATATATATTGGGAATATGGTAATATTGATAATAAGGATTTTTAAAGGATGCTTCAAAAGAAGTTGCCAAATTTAAGTAACTCAACTTTAATCGAAAAAGTATATATTCGGTGAGGGCCCTGACCAATAATTTTGCTTTGCTTAAGCGGGACTTAGTGCGCAAAAGGAGGAATATACCATTCATAACATCAAAACTTAAACTGTGCCCCTTGGGTGACGTGACTATGCATACTTTAAAAGGGATGCTTTAATATGTGCGAGTGATATGAAATCTATTTGCACAAAGATTCTAGAAAGACTGCAACAGTCCAAAAATGACTTTGGAGTGTCCCTAGATGTCAAAACTTGACATAACTTGATAGAAACCAGAATTTCTTGATGTCGGCGATGATTTCAAAAAACAGTACCAGAACACTATTTCAGTGACATTGATTCATATGTCAAAACATATGTCAAAACCGGGGACTTAAAATTCTCTTGTGGATTGAATAAACGGAGGTTTCTGGCTTTGTTGATGAGGTTTATCGGTGGACCATTTAGAGGGTTTCACTTGGAGTAAAGCCTCACAATAACAACGGACAGCACTGACTAATTAACATTTAGATTTTTACACTTTTCGCCTGCTTTATTTCGAATTTTATTTACTATTTTACTAAGGAAAATATCCGGAAGGGGCAAAGTTTAGAAAGGGCAAATAGTCGAGAAGGGGATAATCGTTTGGACCCTAAGATAATGCAACCCCCCCCCCCCCCCCCAAAAAAAGCAATAAAACAGACTTTAACTATTATACGTTGAAATCCTGTTATATGGTCATCAAAAAGGGCAAGGTCTTATTTATTTATAATTATTAAGAGGGTTCTATTTAAATGCCTACTAAACCCTTAAATATCGCATAAATGATGTTCAGAAATATGCCATTTGACCTTAACAGTACCTGTTTGATTAAAAAAATAATTTCTGTAGCAAAGTGTATTTTTGTTGTGATTGAAATAATAAAAATAATCCAATGTTATTTCCTAAACATCCCTGTAAAATGGAAGAGATAATTCAACTTGTTACAGTTTGTTTAAATGTTGTGGTATGATTTTCTATTACAATATGTAATTTAGTACAATACGTAAGAAATGTGATTAGAGTTCTGTTATCATGATCGTATAAATTTTATGGCACTTATTGCTTTTCCACTTGGAATATTAGATTTATTGAAATAAATGTCAAAAAAACGATAAAGAAAATGGATGATACAAATAATATGAATTTTTTATAAGGTTCATTTGGGGACAACTAACAAAGACATAATTAGGAGAGTAAAACAAGCTGATAAAGTTGCAGAGGCAAACAAATATGAATATGGAGACCACGTGTACACTGTTTTGTTCTTTGATGAAGCTAACACAACAGAAGCTATAGGACTTATTAAAGAAATCATATGTGACAAAAGTATGGAAGGAAAGAAACTGAAATTATGTGAAAACCTGAAAATAATTGCTGCTTGTAATCCATACAGAAAGTATGTTTGGCTATGATTGTTACCACATGTAAATTATTCAGCATGCAGATTGAATTAAAGCAAAACTGTAATGCATGTTCAGTCTATCTTTATTAATCAAAGAACATTTTATATATTATTGAACTTAGTAAGTTTTCTGTTTGATATTTGATAAAAAGTAACATTATACAGTAAACTTCACTTATAGCGAACACGATTATAGCGAACTTCAGGTTATAAATAACACATTTTGTTGGTCCGAATTTTGTCCTTCTTTATTTGAAATAAAAACATTCGGATATAGCGAACACGGTTATAAGGAATTATCGCTTATAAGGAACTCATTTCTTTGTCCCAATTTAGTTAACACTACAGAAAAGTACACTTTTATAACGAATTCAAAAATATCTGCTAATGCTTCTCTTTGCTAATGCATTGAAAACTTCAAAGTACGCTTAATCAAAATAATAAGAAATCTATATATTTCATATAAAACGAATGAAAAATAGAAAATCTTGCTTATTCTTAATCTAAAAAAGAACACGAAAAGCACTGGGTTTAGAAACAAAATATGATATTTCATAAGAAATTGAAAGAGAGGGTAAAACTAAAACTGAAATAGCAAAGGATTTTCAAATTCAAAAAATATACTCTCGGGTATTGTGTCTAAAAAAGAAATAAATGGCTAATTGTTCTCAAACAAATGCTCTTCAAATGGAGGACAATGGTTAACAATCAGTTCGTTATGTGTAAATCTGTTCGCTATACAAGCAAATAATTCGCTATATGCTTACAAAGAACTCCGGATATAAGGAACATATTTCGAATTTCCCAATGAGTTCGTTATAAGCGGAGTTTCTATACTTATTTCTTTCTTTGATAATTAGTAATGCCTATTTCAAAACAGACCTAATGCCTATTTCAAAACAGACCAAGCTTATTACACAAATTTGACAGGATAAGCATTAATATGAAAATCACACATTTGAAAAGCTTTGAAAATGTCTACATCATCTTCAATTAATGACAGTGATGTTTATTTTAGTGTATAGTTTTTCAATAGAATGCGATTTTATGACATGGCTTTTTAAATTAGAAATAAAGATAATTTACACGTAATTTTTATAACATCGTTTTATTTATGACAGTGTTTTATGAAAGTAAATATGGCTGGTCCGTCTAAAATACACGTTTCATTTTGATGTAAGGCACTCGGAAAAGGTAATCAAAAAGTTAGAGCAAGCAGGACTTGGTTTCCATGTTGATGCTGATGAAACGACAAACAGATTAGGTCGTATACCAATGAGATGTCTTGTATACAGGGTCCAGCCTCTACCACAAAGTTTACTGCCCCTGGTATGGGACTTTGGTCAGCTGAACACTCAAGTGGAAGACCTTTATATAAGACAAATGGTTAGAAGATATGTAAGTTGATGTTTGATCACTTAACAATTACTTTAATTTATCATTTTTATAGAAATTTTAACCCACCAACTTGTTACTAGATAGGTGAATGACAGCGGTCTGCAAATTGTCTTGGCGTTAAAACCACCTATCTTGAAGAAGTTTTATCCGAATATTCACTGTCTATCTTTATCAAGTGCCTTGACATATTTTACGATGGCTGGTTTTCTGATAATTTCAATCACTTATTAGCACATCACAATCTTTTAGTTAAATGTAGCAACATTATAAAGTTATTTGATTGGTTTCTCAAAGAATATTTGATAAGATTAAAGTTGTTTAAGATTTGAAAGTAACCTGTATAGAGCAAGGCCAGCTTGTACCTTAGTACAGTCTGACCAGGTTCTTTACGATTGTCTGACCAACTTAGATTTTTTATCTTAGAATCTTCATATGTGTACTTGATAATGGACAGTTCCAGAAATTTAAGTTGAACAGTTCCTTTTAAGTCATCCAGCAGTTTATGGGGAAAAGAAAGAAACCATAGTATTTGAGTTAGAAAATGAAGGAAGATATTATTGATGAATATATCTTTATTATAGATACGTGAAGACAAACTGCCTAGCATTGGGGGTCTGATAGAAGTTGTCAGTGCAATCTTAACTTCCTCACAAGACTACATGAGGGAACAGAAGGTAAATGAATGAGAATAATTTGTGATAAATATTTCTATTTTAATTGAAGTATGACTATTGCTTCAAAAAACATAACATGTTTTATATGTCTTCACTTTCTTTAGTCGGGTCATTGTTAGTGAGTAGTTTCCGACTTGTGAAAATTTAAGGAAATCATGAAAATATAGCCATTTTCACTAAAAAGACACATATCGTCTTATTATTGATTTTAAGTTCATGCACAGCAACCATTATTTATTTTTTAGAGTTATTTACAACTGTCTTACAACTGTATTGCAGGATGAGTGTAGTTTTGTGTCACTACGAGATGTTGACAGAGTATTGACTGTAATGAGCTGGTTTTACCAACAGAGTCAAGGGCAGAGAACCCTATATGACCTAATGGACGAGAAACTATATGGTGACGACGAATTCACTTCTGAAGATGATGATGATGAGAAGGAGAATGATCAAATGATTAGAGATGATGGACGGGTAAGAGTGACAATTCTGTTACTATGGTTACCATATATACCATAAAAAAAGATATGGAGACTCACAGACTCAAGTCGGTGCTATGGGGCGTGAGGGATGTTGCACGCATCCATTATCCCTCATGTACATACTCAATCAAACCGAGTCTGCATTTCTCTTGTAATTTTGTGGGGATTAATGCTTTCGAGAGATCACTTTGTTTCCAGAATTTTATACTTCACAACAGCAGGTGTCAAGTGCTGTGTGGGTGGCAGCTGTAAAAAGTTGCCCCGTACTTCACTTCAGTGTTGTTATATTTTCTGGTCCTTCGGGATCATTGATGCCAACAGTATTAAGTGTTGAGAATTGAGTACCTTTCAAGCTGGTGCTAGGGGACGTGAAGGAAGTTGCACGCATCCATTATCACTCATGTACAGACTCAATCAAACCAAGTCTGCAATTATCTTGTAATTTTGTGGGGATTATTGCTTTCGAGGGATCACTTTGTTTCCAGAATATTTTTTTTCCACAGAAACGGACTAATGTTACATTTTTAAGGTAGTGAAAATATATTGCTAGGAGAAAGGGCTACTTTAAAAAAAATCAAAGTATTCAAATACTTGGAGATGTATGCAAGTTAAAATGACTCAAGTTTAGGTGAATTTTAAATACATCACATCTATTCATTGCATTTTCTGTACATCCTGTTTAGTTGTTCTGTTTAAGATGACATGAGATAACAGACATTTATTACTGATTATATAACATGTCGTCAAATATGTTAGGATGTTATAACGCATTCTTTGGTTGCTTTTGTATTGTTAAGGTTTTATTGTGGCTTTCTCAATGCCTACATTAAAATATTTTTAACAGGGTGACAGAGTCAATGATATTACCCGTTCTCTTATGCTAGCACTTGGTGTTTGCTATCATGCCTGTCTGAAAACTAGACCGCAGTATCGTGCACACATTGCACCAAAATTCCGTGCACCTTGTCATCTTCCAGGTGGTGCCGATCAAATACAGGAAGAGATAGAAAAGTATGTTGATTGACAAAATTAGATTAATATCTTATTAAACTTCTTATTTAATAATCTATTTGTAAGTTGAAGTTTAAATTAATTAGTAGAGTTAAATAATGCATGAATTCAGTTTTGTTTTACATGACCATCCATTTTGATTCCCTATATTGGACACTTCCTATATGTTTAAACTCCAGTATCCGATATATCCTTTGTTGGATAGTTGAATATGCATGACTTTTTAAATATATAACATTTACAATGAAAGGGGATACAGAGAAAAAATGTCTGAAATAATGTTTGTACTTAGCATTGAAAGTGTCTTGTAAAAGGTAAACTATATGCTTTTTGGTGAAGAGGAAGAAAATAATAATTAACTGTTTCTTCAATATAACCTGTAACATAGGTATACATACAACATACAATACAATACAATACAAAACAATAATCAAGTTTGGAATTCACTTATGAGATTTTTATCGATATTCTGAGCGGTATTGTGATTATAAGTTAAGAATTGCTGTACTCCTGGACTTGCTGTACTGCTAAGACTTACTGCAGTATTGGACTTGCTGCACTATTGGACTTGCTCCACTAATGGACTTGCTGCACTATTGGACTAGCTTCGCTTCTTAGACTTGCTACGCTTCTTAGACTTGCTACGCTTCTAACACTTGCTGCACTCCTAAGACTTGCTGCATTATTATACTTGCTGCGCTTCTTGGCCTTGCTGCGCTCCTTAGACTTACTGCGCTTCTTTGACTTGCTGTACTTATTGGACTTGCTGCGCTCCTTAGACTTGCTGCGCTTATTGGACTTGCTGCTTTCCTTAGACATGCTGCACTATTAGAATTGCTGCACTATTGGACTTGTTGCGCTTCTTGGACTTGCTGCGCTTCTTAGACTTGCTGCGCTCCTTAGACTTGCTTCTTTTCTGGGAAGCGGACCGTTCTAAGACTTGCTTCTTTACTGGGAAGCGGACTGTTGCTAAGGCTCAACTCTTCACTAGAAAGCCGACCGTTTTCTAGACTTGCTGCTTTATTCGGTTCCTTCACTGGACCTGCTCACCAACAAGGAGGCTTGCTGAAAATCAGCTTTCTGACAATATATGAAGCTTCTTGCTAAATCAATTTTTTTTCTTCCTTTTTTCTATTTCCAATTTCATTTCATATAAATACACAACGCGCGAACCGGATAGAACGCCACAATTGTGACGTCACGTCAAAACAATACATAATACAAAATGGCGGACATTTGTGTTTCTTTTCATAAATAAAGTGGCTATTTTGACAACAATACAATATCTGATATATTTGTATCATTGATCTGTATAATATCTGGTATTTGTAACATTGATCTGTACAATATCTGATATTTGTAACATTGATCTGTACAATATCTGATATATTTGTATCATTGATCTATAAAATATCTAATATATTTATACTGGTAAACAAGCTTATCTGTACAATATCTGATAGATTTGTATTAGTAAACAGCTTATGCAATTATATTTGAAATGCTGATGGGCTTCACAGGTATGGCTTCTTAATTAAATTGTATGTGAATCCAAATATGTTCCCTTAGATAACTTTTAGTAACTTATTGTTTTTTAAAAAGGTGTCAAGAAGTTTTCTTAGATCACGTTCATCTGGAGAAGAATATAGCTTGTAACATGGCACTGAGAGAGAATGTTTTCATGATGGTTGTATGTATAGAACTACGTATCCCACTGTTCCTTGTTGGTAAACCTGGAAGTTCCAAATCTCTTGCCAAAACCATTGTTTCTGATGCTATGCAGGGAAATGCTGCAACAGAAAAGCTGTTTAGAGAACTGAAACAGGTAATTTGTATGTAGATTTTCTTCCACTCATATGTCAAGTTTTTAATAATTTTCTTTTTAAGAAATGCATTGCTATGACAATAGCCTTATATAACTATTCTCTTGAGATCATTAGTTCCTATTTTTACACTTTCAGCAATATTTGAATGACAAAATTGCTGCAATACTACCCTAAGTCTCAATTATTTCAATGGTTTTGAGTATTTGAATTAAGATAAGAGCTACTGTACTTAAATGTGATTGAAACAAATTTTTAGTAAGGACTCATTGTTTTATTGAAAAAAAGTACCTACAGTATTAATTAATAGGGCCTAATGAGACTGTACGACGGTCTCATTATTATATTATGATTTTTTCAGGCCCAGATGGTGTCATTCCAGTGTAGTGCCCTGGCCACACCAGATGGTATAGTTGCAACATTTAGACAATGTGCACAGTTCCAGAGAGACAAAGATTTGGATACATTTGTCTCTGTTGTTGTCCTTGATCAAGTAGGATTGGCTGAAGACAGTCCAAGAATGCCACTGAAGGTAACTTTATCGAAATAATGTTTTCTAGAACTCTTAATTATTTCAAGATTTGTGTTCATTTTTTATATGAAACATAAATGACAACTTATAAATATTTTCACATTAAACATAAATTGCATCAACATTTGACATTCCTTTAGTTTCATTGTGCTGATTCAAGTATAATAGTCCGCAAAAGAACACTTCCTGTAGAAAAAAATTATTATTCTAAAAATAACATATAAGTTATTATGTCTGTCCGTCCGTACAAACCCAGATGTACTTGTGTGACTTGGAGAACAATAGATACAGTAAATTCTCTTTAATCCTATTCATTCCCTTTTTACTTGTGTGTCTTTTTAAGCATTGTGTGACTAAAAATGGCTTAAATGATCAAAGGAAAAGTCACATAAGTACCATTTCGTAAGTACGCCCGTCTGTCTGTCCGGTTGTCCATCCGTCCTCGTTAAGCTTGTTCACCCTTGACAGATCAAACTACTGGTGGGATTTCAACTAAACTTTACAAGCATCACCAGCACGTTCTGCTTCAATGCAAAAATGGCCGCCATAGTTAAAATAGAAAATTTTTGTCCGGACTTCTCAGGTTAAACTACTGGTAGGATTCAACCAACTTTACAAGAGTGATCAGTACCATACTTAACTGTGCACATCAGCGGCACGTTCCGCTTCGCTGCACAAAATGGCCGACAGACATAAAAATACAAAAATCTTGTCCGGCCTTCACAGGTCTAACTACTGATGGGATTTCAACCAAACTTTACAAGAGTGATGAGTTTTGTCTCTAGCTGTGCACATCACCGGCACGTTCCGCTTTGCTGCACAAAACTGTCGCAATAGCTAAAGCTAGAACAATCTTGTCCTGCCTTCAAACGTCAAACTACTGATGGGATTTTAATCAAACTTTACAGGAGTGATCAGTACCATCCCTTGTTGTGCACATCATTTACACGTTCCGCTTCCCTGAATAAAATGGCCACCAGAGCTAAAAAAAGAACAATCTTGTCCGGCCTTCACAGGTCAAATTGCTGGTGAGATGTCAACAAAACTTTACAGGAGTAATCAGTACCATGTCTTGTTGTGCACATCATCGGCACGTTCCGCTTGGCTGTACAAAATAGCCGCCAGAGCTCAAAATAGAACGATCTTGTCCGGTCTTCACAGGTCAAACTACTGACGAGTTTTCAACCAAACTTTACAGGAGGGATCAGTACCATCCCTTGTTGTGCACGTTACTGGCAGGTTTTGCTTCACTGCACAAAAATGCAGTTAGAGCTAAAAATAGAAAAATCTTGTCCAGCTTTCGCATGTCAATCCACTGGTGGGATTTCAACAAAACCTAATAGGAGTGATAAGTATCATCTCTAGTTCTGCACATCATTGGCACGTTCCGCTTTCGCTGCACAAAATGGCCACCAGAGCTAAAAATAGAAAAATCTTGTCCGGCCTTCACATGTCAAAATCTTGGTGGGATTTCAAGCAAATATTACAGGATTGATCAGTACCATCCGTATTTGTGCACATCACCGGCACGTTCTGCTTCGCTGCACAAAATAGCCGCCAGAGCTTAAAATAGAAACATCTTGTCCGATTTGCACAAATCAAACTACTCATGGGATTTCAACAAAACTTTACAGGAGTGATCATTACCATCCTAAGATGTTCACATCACCGGCACGTTCTGTTTCGCTGACAAACATGAGTGACCATAAATACTTTAAGGAGACCTATGTTTTTTGACAAAAACTCTTCTAGTGCAGTTTGAAATATTTTATCTGGGTGGAAAAGGAAATGAAATAATCCCCCACCATGTCAAAACTCTCCAACGGGGAAACTCCAATGGGAATTTGTTCCGAAATAGTAGTATACATTGCAAAAAATATGATAAACAAGATCAACAAGGAAAGGCGGCGTTCAATGAACGCAACCCCCATATGACCCAGCAACAAGAACAAGTGGCAAAAAGGAGCCCAAGCGGACCCCAAACAAAAACAGGACAGGGCACAAGTCAGCACGGACAGTTTAATCACTAAATGATAAATAATTTGTAACTGATTAGGAATTAAAAGAAAACAAACAAATGATTGAACAACAGGCCCACAAAGTCAAAGGGCACAGGGAAGGGGACAGGAGACCGGGGAAAGTGGGGGGGGTAATAAAAGAAATAAAAACTAGGGGTGAAGGGGGAAGATACTTACCGTAGACGAAAAAACAATATATGTAAAACTTATTTCATATTTTCTTTTAAATATAGCAATTTTGTAATTATTATCTCGTATTTTATTTAAATGGTCTGATATGACGAATAATTTCAATAGAGAAACTGTCAAGAAAGCATCCATCTAAGCCTCTTTCCATCAGGCAGTGTTATCATTCTATAATTTGAATGACCTGTTTTGGTTAAATGTAAACTACATTGTTACACAGCTTTATTGATTTAGATTTCTTAAAAAGTTTGATTGACATAATTACTCTGTTTCTAACCAGACACTTCATCTATTATTGGAGGATGGTTGTCAAGGCGATGAAGAGCCAGAAAAACACATGAAGGTTTGTTAGGGATTATTCTTTCTTCTGTTTCATTTTGTCAATTAAGATGGTCATGCTTTAATTTCAAGTTGTTGTGACGCTGACAGTTTGTGTAAGATTTTTCTATTTGTAATGTTTTAAGTTGAGTTTCACATATACTTTTTTCAAATACCACCAATTCGACAGTGTTACATTTAACAACTTATAGTCAGTTAACCCTATTCATTTTTACTTTACATTATACCAGTCTGATGTTATATTCGAAACTGGCTGTCATAGGGTTTGTGGAATACATACCAAATAGTCCTAGACACTATGTCACTAATGCAACTTTGATGAGGCTTACCCTTTGTTTTGCAGACCTTTTGTTTTTTCCCCAAAACTGAATTAGTGAATCAAAATTAAGGTAGATACTGGTATATTTGACATTTCTACTTGAAGGTTGCATTTATCGGTATTTCAAACTTGGCATTGGATCCTGCCAACATGAACAGAGGAATTCTGGTACAGATAGAAGTACCTGATCTTGAAGAACTGAAAAATAGTGCAAAGTATGATGCAGTTGAATTATGATAACATAAACTTTTCAAAAAACATCTACAGTTGTTTCAGCATCATCTTCCTAAAAACAGACTAGTGTAACCATTATCTTTCTGATAAAGATATTATTGAAATAATTTCGGAAATACATTTATAGCAATTTATTTTATCTTCCTTGAACAGTGGTAACAATTTGTGACTAAAGTTTTCAAGATTATCTTTTCGATAGAAGAGTTTTAACATATGCTTTATAATATACAACGTAGTTATTTTAAACATTTATTTTTGTAAATATATTTTATGTCATCATGGTCTTTCAACTACAGTTACATTTGTGGTACCATTATCTTTTTAATAACAGTTAGAGTTTTGTCAACATTATTTTTCAATATTTAAGTGCTAGAATATCAAAGTCAGATATTATCATGATCTCTTGTTGTCAACATTATATGAAATATTTCATATGCATTATGTTCCTCTAAATAATAAGATCGGATAATACATCATTAATATGTTTGTTAGTAATTTCTTTTTGTACTAAGACAAATAACGTTACAAATGTTTACAGTGGTATAACATGCGATAAACTTGGCAGCCTGATTGAACCACTTATTGAGCCAATGGCAATTTCATATCTGGATATTTTTGAGAAAGCCTCAAAGAACATGAGAGAATTTTATGGATTAAGAGATTTTTACAGGTAATCCTTATGCCACAATTGTTTTATGAATAATAAGAAATTTATAGTTTTATTTAATAACCTTTACTCTTCTTGATGAGAACATGGTAGTGTCTTGTTTTTAATTCATATTTGTCAAGATTTATCTTAAACTCCCTTTAAGTTCAAAGAATTGTGCTAATTTCTCAACAAGATGAATGAATAGCCGTGTTCTTGTATTTGGGTGTTAGGAACAGAAATGATTACTACAAATGTTACAAATGTCAATGATATTTCAGTTTGGTGAAAATGGTGTATGGGTTTGTGGAGAAGTCCAAACAAAGGCCAACATGGCATGAAATGTTACATGCAATCTTGAGAAACTTTGGCGGTCTGGACCAAGTTAATCCTGTGAGGAGTTTTAGGGAGAACCTTTCTAAAGTTGTTCAGTTTGATGAAAGGGTAAGTATACTACTTACATATCCCCTCTTATGGCATATGTCATACATATTTGCCCTTGTCCATCTACAAACCATCTTTTCCGATCATAGACCATTTTTTCAATCCATAGACTGAAAAACGGTGAATTGTGATATCATTTAATAAGGACCAATATTTAGATAAAAAGTAATTCGATCACCTTGTCTGCATGGTTGATTTAACTACGTTTTCATCGAAAACTGGTTATTGTAATGCTGAAGCTGGCGGTCTGGCAGGCAGTCGGGTAGGCGATCACCAACTTTTGGTTTCCGCTTAATAACTTGAGTTTAGTTTGGCCGCCTATTGACACTAAACTTGATGTATGGGTAGCTTAAAGCTGCATGCATCCAGATGAGTAAAAAAAACTATAAAATCAAACTTGAAAAATATGTACTAAGATTTTAGGAAAAGTAAAATGATTCAAGATTAAAGTAATATTTCACATGTTATGTGCGAAAAATGACTGATTTTTCAGTATTTACAACTATATTTCTACTGCGTTACTAACGCAGTAAGGGCTAGTTATGCATATTTTGACCACGTTTTGGTAATTTGCGTGGGTTTTAAGTGACATTGAAAATGTGTAAATTGCTTTCATTTGGTTATTTAACAATATTACACATTCAAATACATTCTCAAAATTTTCATGAAAATTAGCATGAATCTGGAGGCGTGCTGCTTTAAGGTCAAGGTCACTGTTGCTCAAATAGAAATTAAGTTTTCGCTCTATACTTTAAGTTTTCTTAGACTTATTACCCGAAATGTTATGGGTGGTTAGATAATATCAAGAGGCAGCATATGATTGCTAACTAGGTGTCTGTGATCAAGGTAATGGTCAATGTTGCTAAAAATAAAAATTCAGTCTTGTTTACCATATTTTGTATCTATCTGCATAGCTTATATCAAGAGGCATCTTAGAATTGCTACACAGATGTTTGTGATCAAGGTCAAGGTCACTGTTGCTTAAAATAGAAAATCAGTTTCAACGTAATTACTTAAGTTTACTGAGACCTATTGACACCAAACTTGTGATCAAGATAGTTACGCAAGCGTCTGTAATCAAGGTCAATATTGCTAAAATTGTAAATTAAGTTTTCCACTCAATAACTTCAGTTTGCTTTGGCATATTGATACCAAACTTAGTATGTGGGTAGCTTATATCAAGACGCTACTTGGGATTACTACCCAGGTGATTATGATTAAGGTCGATGTCACTGTTGCTAAAAATAGAAATTCAATGTAACCATCATTACCTTTTTCCTGAAATATGTTTAATTATTAGATCAATCGTGAGAAAGGCAACCTTTTTATGTTGACTTTTGTGTTTCTCCAACTTAATATGTTCATTTAACACATTTAAAACATTTTTTTCATATTCTGCATACCTTAGACATTTGTCAAACTACAAGTGCCGTATAACAATAAAAGAAAGCCGGTAAAATAAGATTTAGCTAATTTTAATGAGATAACCGCTGTTGCTTCAGTGCTTCACGTATTCGGCGTTACCTCATTAAAAGGTATCAGTTGCGTTTTATCTGCTAAATCAAGTGTAATATGACACGAGAAGATTCGAAAATGTCTCAGGTACTCCGAATATAAAAATCTTAAAGTAATATATACATTATTGTATTTAAAGATATCAGCGTAACAAAAATTCGCCATCAATACGCTAGTCAGTACGTCATTTTCACGAACGATGTTAAAAAACACTTTCATGGAAATAGTTTTGATGAGGTTTAAAGTATGTCTCAGCAACCGTATACGCTAATTAATTTCTTCCAATTTTGTGTACAATAAAAATATTGGTCTATTTACTTACTGTGGTGCTTGTTTAAGCCACTGAATTGCACAATTCTGCGTTACTTTGTGTCACTTGCTTACAATACCATTTTTAGCTTCTACTCGATAACTTCAGTACACTTTGACCTATTGATACTTAATTTGGCATGTGTGAAGCTTACAAGAAAATACACCCTGGCATTGTTTCTCAGATATCTGGTTTGTTTTCAGTTTGATATATTGAAACAAACCTTCTGTGAAGGTACAAATCAGCATTATTTTTACTTCACTGCTTTACTTCATTCCTAATTCCTGTCACATCAATACTTGGTCATTGAAAACCTGGTTTTCGTCACATTGCGGCGCTTCATGTTCATATTTACAATGCAATACTATGAAACCGATATAAAGATGTACGTGATTCTTTTTAATGGACTCTTTTTTCAATGTTTAGTGAAACAAAAAACACTTGGCAATAACTCTTTTCAGCACCTTTTATTTTTGTTGGAAGGTACCTAGGTCGCTGACAAAAGATGTTTAAATTTAGGCGCAAGGTAAAAATGAGACTTGCTGAGAGTATTTGTCTTTTCCTTCGGTACGAATGTCTCATGTAATATACAATATGTTCCTAACGAATAAAGTATTTAGTCAATGACAGTTTATAATTGACAAGCATGGATAAATCAACTGAATCAGTTGTTAAAAGATTGCGGATTATCAATAGACTTCATTAAAACCATTAGTAGCAGAGGAAAGTGTTTCTTAAAATATCTCATAAATTCATCAACATTATATATATTTCAAAGATTTCTGCAAGGTAGTATTTGATCAAGCATTATGCACAGATTTATAAAACAAATATTTTTTACCTTTTTAAGCCGAAACAAACAGATCCAGACTGCAGACCTTTGAGCTTAGTACAGGCATGTCTATTTGACTCAAATAATACACAAAGGTATGTGTTTGTTTTTACTCAACATAATAGAAATGTTTTTTTATTCAGTCAGTAAATGATGTAGTGCAGACTGATGGAGTGTCAATTGAACATTGTTATGTTATTCAATGAGCTTAATTCCGTTTTGCAGACGGGATCTCTGATAATGCTAAATTATATATTGTATCATCAATACGAGTAAGATCCTAGGATCCAGCTATGTCAACGTTAAATTCTAATTTATGTTTGCTTAAACTTAGCTTATCATATGCACATCTCACCTGACAAGGTCACTTGTGTAAAAAAATAAATCTAAACATTTCTGCTCATACAGCCTTTATTTTTAAGTTAGTTAGATGAAGAAAAAGACCGGTTTAAGAGAAATCGCTCAATGTTTGAACAAGTTATAGAACACGAATTTTTAGCCTTTAGTGTATAAATTTGATAAATTGAAAAATCGTTTTATGTTAAAGTAAAACACTGAGTTTTTGTTGTTGTTTTATCTAAAATAGTGAGAGTAGATACCTGCTTCTGTTAACAGAGAATTATGGTACATTAGCAACCATACAACAGATTTTGTCTAGGAGAGGTGATATCAAACCTATTACCATATTTGGTAGTAGCTTTAGAGGTGACCAGGAGTATACACAGGTCAGGCTATTGTTTAAAAATATCCTTCTTTTTATGCCCCCGGGCATATAGTAATTGAACCGTCCGTCCGTACGTCCGTCCGTCTGTCCGTACGAGGTTAACCAAGAACGGCAAGTTGGATTTTTCTTAAGTTCTACCTGTACCAATGGCTTCATAATTTACACACTTACTAATCCATACAAAGTATATGATCTGGGCAAGTTACATAACTATGGCTTCCATTTGCACCTAGTTATGGCCCTTTTTAGCACTTAGGAAATGAATAATGGTTAACCTAAACCGGCAAGTTGGAAATATCACATGTTCTATCTGAACTAATGGCTTAATAGTACTTTTGTTATGGTCATTGGGTTTACTTTTATATGTTTCTACATGATCATTTTAGTGTTTAACTTATTTAACCTATTGTAACCATGACAACTGTTAGAATTTCACTTGGCGGGGATTCATTTTATTTACACTGTCTCGTTTATAGGAATATGGTGGGGCTAAGAGCGAGGTTTGGTGCACCATTAACCGGTTTAAACTCCCCAGCAGTCATTATTATGCTGCTGACCGTTCCAAGGCGGCGCCCCACTGTGTTCCTCAGATGTATGTCTATGTTGTTTCATACTGTTTTGGTGACACTTTTGCTTGTGTCCCTTGTTGTTTTCTCGTCTACGGTAAGTATTTTCCCCATTGCCTATAGTTTTTTTTTCTTTGATTACCCCCCCCCCTTCCCCGGTCTCCTGTCCCCTTCCCCTTTGTGGGCCTATTATTATTTTCTTTGGATTCCTAATCAGTTACAAATTGTTTATCATTTAATGATTAACATGTCGTTGCCCTGTCCTTTTTATGTTTGGGGTCCGCCTGGGCTCCTTGCCGTTGGTTCTTGTTGCTGGGTCATATGGGGGTTGCGTTCATTGAACGCCGCCTTTCCTTGTTGATCTTGTTTATCATATTTTAATAATTTTCACTTTTACTTATCAATACAATGTACATGATGTTGCCTAGTTATGTAAATGTGCCAGTAATTTCCCTTTTTATCACTTTGAAAATAGGGCCGTGTATGGTAAACCTATTCCGCCAAGTTGGATTTATCAAAAGAATTCACCTAATTACTTAATTTATTTAATGATATCTTTCATATTTGGTAGGTGGATACCTTTAACGGTCCTCTAATTTTTGTGGCGTAAGGCGTCTCTAGGTCAAGGTCAAGGTCACTTGTGTAAAAAAATTAATCTAAACATTTCTGCTCATACAGCCTTTATTTTCAAGTTAATGTCTTTCATGTTTATAATAGTCATACCAAGGGAGGTCCTCTTCCTTTTCCTTTAGTAATAGGTCATTTAGGTCAAGGTCACCAATGTCAAAAATAGATTTTTTACACTTTTACAGGTGTATTAACCTTATTCTATCGACAGATGTCTTGTATATTTTGTTGGAACATAAATTGAGGTATTCTCATTTGGATGGAGGAAGGGGTCAGTTGGGTCAAGGTCAACATTGCTAAAATAGATTTTTACACTTTTGCCCATACAGCCTTTATATATTGACAGATTTATTTCATTTTTGGTAGGAAAATAAGTTGCACGATATTCTTCCTTTGGATTGAGTTAGGGGTCAGTTGGGTCAAGGTCACCAGTGCTAAAAATAGATTTTTTACACTTTTGCCCATACAGCCTTTATTTATTGACAGATTTATTTCATATTTGGTAGGAAAATAACTTGCATGATATTCTTCCTTTTTATAGAGGTAAGGGTCAGTTGGTCAAGGTCTAGGGTACCAATTACAGATTTCTACACATGATTGGTTTTCTTCACGAACTGCGATAATTTGCTTGCATCTCTTAGTAACAAATTGTTCTTCCTTATCATTTAAAAAAAGTGCTAACAATTAATGAAGGCATTTACTTACCGAGTTTAATAGCTTAAGGCTTTTGAGACGAAAAGACTAAGATGGAAAAGAAACTGTAGGAAAGAGTTAAACATGCTCAGATGAGAAGACACATACAAATTAGCTACTTCACTCTCTAAAGTTAAATTATTGACAACAGTGAGCGCGGGGGCATTTGTGTTTATCAAACACATATTCTTGTTATTCCTGTTATAAGTTCAAATAGATTGCAAGGATTTCAGACAAGGTTTGGTGCACAAAACGGTATCAGAATATTACTTCCTTAAGGTGACAACAGACATTTTCCTTGGTATTCACATAAATGTCATTTAAACTAAGTTATTTTAGTAATAATTGTTATTTATTTAATCTTTGTGCATTAAATATCGTTGATCATCATAAAAAATAACATATTTGAAAAAAATGCCTTTGAAAATGATTGATTTTGAATAAAAATCCTAAAATTTTAAATCGTCATATCAAAGTCATTTTTTATTTTTTTGTCATCAAACTATGGAAAATAACCATACTTATATTATCTGGGGAACCGTGTCTCAATTTTTTT